TTAATCATTGCAAGTATTGAGAATAAATTAAATCCAAATATTTTGAAAAGAAAATACTCGAGTATCGAAGCACCAAAGTATTAAATTCGAGAAGATTAATAAACTCGATTAGTTTAGGGACGGAAGATAATAAGAAATTATTCATTCGATTCTTGCAATATCGTAGGAAACGTTTCCTCGTTCGAAAATTGAGAACCCAGAAGCGAATGATACCGTTCGCGCGATCTCCAGTCTACGTTTCCGGCGCGTAAAAAGAAGAAGAAACAGTATGTGAAAACACCTAACTTCGCATAGAACAGATATCAGGCGTGGCAATCATTGAACTTTCAGTACCTCTTTGCCTTCTGGCAATGTCTACTCTTGTATACCGTATACGGATGAAGGCTGCTATACTACCTTGGTTTTACTTCCAGAGTTTCGTTCCAGTCTATAACAAGACACACGTAGAGAATCAAAGTCGTAAGTAAATTTTCGTACGAACCGTATCGCGAAAATGGTTGAAGAATATCTACATTGAAAATCAAAATCTCATATCGTGCAACGTGCCATTAAATTTCTGTAACTATTCGGAAAATATAAATGTTCGTTATTCTTAACCAAAATACGGGAATTCAAATTTGCTGCTGCGTTTAAAAAATCAGAAATTTTATTCTTTATAAAGGTGGAAAATAATTTTAATTCATTTGCTCGCCACTGATTAAACATACGTTAATAAAAGTACGTGTATGCACGTTTATTGATCGTGAGAACAATAACAATTACGACGTTTTGTCCTAGATCCGCTAGAGGACTCATCAGTAAAGATATTCTGGCGGATCATGGCTATAAACATAGATTTAACCACTAGTAACAAGCAAATAAATAATAATTATCTTATATTTTCTAACGGGTCATATTTATTTCATTTCGAATTACATTAAACTTCAAAATTCCATCTTTCTGTTTGATCCGAATTCTCCTCATCGTGGAGATTGTTCAAACGTATAATTTGCCAGCAAACGATGGTTCTCATGCGTTATTGAATTTTAACCAAAGTTAAATAATTGTACAAGTTCTGATAAAAAGCATTCGAGCAAACGCAACAATACAAAATTATTTTGAAATACTGCAACTTTCGACACGTAAAATGCTATGATATAAATATATAAAATGCACGTTAATGTTAAACTGGTCGAATGTGAAATAGATACATAAAAAATAATTAAAATTTTGGTTTATTATTTTATAGAAAAAAGTAAATAAATGAAATGATGCTTGGAAAAAAGCATTCGAGCAGCACAAGGTCTGGAGAAGTACTTTTGTGTTGTCACGTTCATGTATTACGGCATGGATTTTATTAAATTTTTTAGATTCCTCTGTCTCTTTCTCTAAATCATTTCTCTATAATATAATGCCAATAATAGGTATGTTTAAATGAAACGAAGCATCTGTCTCGTATCGATTATATTCAACGCGTTAGCCATTCTCTCCATTTCGATCTCTGTCCCTCTATAAAGGCTTCGGATTACGAACGGTAGGAGAATGGGAACAGGAACTAAATACGAAGGATCGGATAAACCGCGTGTAAGCGGAAGTCGAACTCCTAATTAAAATTGGATGACCCGTAGAAACAGTCAGTCGACAGTGTTCGATGTTGGCTGCATACCAACCGTAACCTAAAGTCAGTCAACCAGAACTCCAAGAACCTAAGATCGTGGAGCAATAAATTGAACCATGATTACGCGCGATGTGAAACAATTTCAAACAGAAAATGTTTTACCTAATTAAGAGGGCTTCCAATTGCATTTGTGGTCATTTCGAGGAACGGGTTTCACAAAGTTCCACGAGAAAAAGGAGGAAACTTTTATTTGAACTAATTGTAAGTGTCGTTTCCACGCCATGTGTACGATTAATACGAAGAGGCGTACGAATTAAATACGAGATTTTATATTCGTCTAGTTTAAAAGCTATTTCTATGAAAAAAACAATTATCGTTCATTGAATCGTATTTCGTTCACGTGACAAGGGAGCATCTAAGCTTCGGCTTAAACGAAATAGTTGGAGCTTGGAAAAGAGGTCAAACCGAAGAATCTTCTCGCACGTGAGGGAACTAATTTCTACGAAGAAAAAGAGAACGATTGCAGACCGTTCGCTGTGTTTCTTGCGATTGAAATCGATCTGGTGTATGTAAATATCACAGACAACAGCGCAGTTCTGATACTATGCAAGACACAGTGCAGATACTTGGAGGCAATAAGGGATATTACCAGCGCGGAATCTGTTTAATTGTTGCCTAATACCGATTATTCCAATGATTTGCGTTCGTCTGCATCTTAGAGGAAACGCAGCTATGCTTTTGGTACATATTTCGTAACAAGCAACCGTGAATTTATAATCTTTCGTATATATTTAGAATTATTAAATAAAATATTATTGTCATATAAATTTTAAAATCCTCTGGTGATAAGCGTTACTATAAATATTAGGTTGATTGAAAAGTTCGTGCTATTCTTAACATGCAAATAATCTAACTTACAATCTATTCCAACCTTTCGAGAACAGCTTCATAATTCCTCATTCATAAAAATCCCTCTGTTTCCCCACAAAAAACTAATAAAGTCGTTTAATGGCCTCGTAGGTATCGAAGCTTTGTCCTCCGAGAGAATTTTTTAGAGAGCGAAATAGACGGTAAAAAATTTTTATTTAAAAATAAAAACGTGTTTCTGGTGCATGCGTCCTTTGATGGCTTTTCCACGTACATTTTACATCAATTTTTAAAGGTTCGTATCTCGTCGTATCCTTTTCCAAAATATAATGTCATAATTATAAAAATGTATTTGGAATATCAAATTATTTAAAACCATTATATTTAATATAACGTGCACGAACATACAGACAAATATTGTTACTACGACCTTTTGATAATTTTAGAATGAAATGAACATGACAAAGGTGTCAAAGAGCACAAGCAAACAATGATTGACGAAGATTATTGAAGGTTTTTATTTGCCCCGAAAGCTCTAACGAGCTTCAAAATAATAATAGAAAGAGATAATAACAGTGAGGGCGTGCCAATACTAAAAGTAATGCAAAAGAGTTCTACGAAAACTTAAGCAATAAATTATTTGCGCTTATTGCTTTTCTTTTAACGTGCAATTACGGTGTTTATAATTTAAAGTAAAATCACGTCCGACGCATTACGGACTCGAGCTACTGTCCCTGCTCACTTCAGAGGAATCCCTCTTTTCTTTCATTTCCGGAAGCTCTACAGCGTTCGATCTATTTGTCAAAAGTTCACGGCAATTTAAAATGTTCCGCTTTAAACGTATCGCCCTCTAGCCGCGAGCAATTTCGTTGACTGTTCACTCGCGCGTCACTGGGAACTGTTCAAACATCCAGAGCGGCGAGTAGAACTATCACCGGCGACAATTTTGTTTAATCGCTGTCTAATGCCTCTAATGTCTCGACCCTATAGCTTTGTCTGTCTAAGGGAATTACGGTATAGTTCTCTCTCGTAAGCCACATCGAGCGTAAAACTCGATTCCTATTCCGAGGAAGCTCATCCTGATCTCGATTTGACATCTGAACACGATCGTCGGGACGCCACGATACTGTTTCGATCGATTGAAAATATTTATGGTAATAAAGGAACGATCAATCTCCTCCGATGGACGGATCGAATCGTACTCGACGTCGAGATATAAAAAAGAAATCAACGATTCGGGTCGTACGGCGACGAAAATATGAACAGGAAAATATTTATTTTCAAACTCAACTATGATTTCACGGATCCTGTTTCGACAAGTTGTAATAAATGTTTATTGCCACCGTGATCGTTCGAGAATATTATGTTACATATAACAATGTGCAAGCTACATTGTAGTCTAAGATGTACATTTTTCGACATAGTACGAATTAAAAACATTTTCCCTATTTACACATATGATCGTCACAGTACATAAACAGATGGTTACACTCTGTAAGCTTATTATACTGCAAACCGCAGTGTTTGATTAAGATTTCACTGCACGTACCGCACTCAGGATCTGCGCGTTCCATGGCAATCAATAAACACCAATAATTACAGAAGGTACGTATTCGTCCTTAATTGTGTTGACGTCCATTAACAAAGACAAATTCCGCCATAATCGCATAATTGGGAAACAAAGGGCGGGATTTCTGGGAAAACGAGGTTAACATCTAATACACTGTGCGTAGAATCGAACAAAAAATTAGACCTATTTCAGAATTTTGTCTCAATCGTACCACCTTTTTACTTTAAGGGAGTAACCAACCCCTTTATTTATGCCCTTGGAAGTCGTAAATCACGAAAGATATTAAAATATATATAGAAAAGGATTACTTATTCAAAATCTATCAGTTATAATAACACTGACTGAAATCCACACAATTTGATACAATTTTGCACACGAGCATACACTGTTATACAGAGCTAGTTTATTAACTGATCCAAACTACAACTCTGTTCCTATTCAAAATAGAAAAACAATGGAGAGGAAATTTTTTTGTTATTTAACATGGTATTGTATAACATTATTGAAAAAGCGGGTATGTGACGATTATTATTTTGTATTTGCCGCAGAACATGACGACAAACAGGAAGCGAAAAGGGGTTTCGAGTCGAGCATTCACGATACTTCGTCATTTTCAAAAGTGTTGACAGGCTATTTTTTCATTTCATCTAATAGGTATTAGTTTAAGAAACTAGTATTATTTAACTCTATTGTAAAAATGGAATAATACTAAAAATATTGAAAATATACAATTGCTATAATAACTATTATACTAACTAGAATTTTCAAAGTTTGTTGGAGTTTGCTTTAAAAGACGTGCTGAAGTAATTCGTTGAAAGGCTTATTATAATTTATGCATGCAACTACGACCTCGTGCGATATAAATAACTTTTTGGTCATATTGAAAACTGAATCTTTCACGTTTCAAGTAAATTTATCTACTTTTACAAGTAGAAACAATAGAAAATATTTTTATGTAACACTCACCGAAGCCAATACCTCTTCGTAACTTGTGTGTGACAGCAAACAACGTCATACTGATCAGCAATCCAGACAATCAGTATGATGTAAAAAGCAGTTCTATTGTCGTTGAAAAATTCTGACATGATTGCCTCCATCCCTGCAACAGAACAATATTGTTTTGTACTGTAAATTTAGTTATTTATCGCTTACAATTGAACACATTTTTTCTCATCTTTACTGTCTCCCTATAAGTGTCGCTTCATTACTGTCAATTCTTATTCCGTATTTACAGAGTGTCCAAAACAGAATCCATTAACTCTATGAAACTTAAGCCTTTGATTTTTCGAGAAAAAAGTTATTTACTCAAGGAATAACTTTACGGTTGGAGTAAAGCTACAGTTCACAGTCGTTTGAATAATTACCAAGAGAAAAGATGAAAACTTTGTCACTCTTTTCTTTCGCGAAAAGAAAGAGTACAATCCTTATCTTATGTAACAGGTCAGTATTTCAATCTCGAAAGTTTACTTGAAATAATTTCGAGGAAATATATCAATTTATCAGTAAATTTAAATCAACGTTCTCGAATTACAAAGTCATCTACTCGATCAGTAAACGTTCGGATTTTCCTTTTATATTTTGAATATTGAAAATATAAAATATCCTTCAATTTGTACACCTTCCTCTTAAATTACTGCAGTATAATCTATCATCTATTAAAGAATACACTGAATCTTATGCATACGCGCAAATACGTGCACGTTATATGTTATCGAAACATGTACTATAAATCTTACATATGTACACGAGTATGCACCAAGCAGTGCACATACATTTAGAGATAACGTATAATACCTAAAGCCGGATTGGATGCATATATTCCCTATTCTACAATACAAATTGAAAATCTAATTATCCGGCCGATGGACTCATACAGTCACTCACAGTGAAAATCGTGCAGTATAATAATATCTCATTTTTTTGACTAAATACTATATAATGTTATATTTCTCTATTCCTTGGAGTCAGTCGATGGTTTTACATAAATTAAAGGCGAACTTTCGACCAAATAATAATCCAAATATGAAACAAACGTCATTAGAGGAACGTGGACTTGTAATTCATTATCTTAATGATAATGTCAGCATCAAAATCTAATGCCACGACGCGTAAACAACTCGGATTATAGGCGCACAGAATACCTCTGCTAGAGAGAAAACGAAAGGGAGCGTTGGAGGTTTAAAAATAACGAAACAAATCACGGGAGGGAATCGATACACGCAATCGTCTGCTATCAAACCCGTAGGCTCGTCCTATTAATCGAATAGTTTCCGCACAATTAAAAGTTCGTGGTACAGTGTGCAAGACTCACCCCATGTAAATTTAATACCGACCCATGGGCCATTATACCGTTAAAACGATACATTCGGCGTATCCCACAGGCGGTTTTTATTGTTTCGCAGGCATTGAACGTTAAATCTCGCTTATCGAGTGAAGTATCGACAAACTTATCTCGCTTGAAACGATTTTCCTTCGAACTAACCGTGAACGAAAATTTAGGTAAGGAACAACGGTGAACACGCAAAAAAAAAAAAAAAAATGATCGTTCGATATTCATAACCATTTTAAAATTTTTATACATTGTGTCAATATTTATAGGTTGTCTTATTAAATGAAAAAGATGATTTTTAAATTGAGCTGTCCTTCGTCAGGTTTTAAAGGATGAAATTAATATACACCTACCATCGATTATACGTTATAAATGATTAAAAAATCAAAATTAATGAATATATATTTTAATGGAATTCTAAAAACAGATGTTTGAGAACTAGTGTAACCAATACTTGGCTGGATCGTATTCACAAAAAACACAGCTAATCTATTAAAAGAAGAATATAGAACGCCGTTGTATGCTCGCTGGCGTGTTTCTTAATGAATTGTAACGATATGAAACCTCCCCGAGGACCAAACGGAAATAATAAAAGTATCGCAGGGCGTGTCGTGGCCAGGTCACGAAAGTGCAAAACAACCAACCTGAAACGCGCCGTCTTAAGGTGATTAATGAAAACGTTTAAAGTTTTCTAGAAGAGAATCGACACGATATTTTCTCGATCAATTGGTATCGCCTCAAATCTCGAAAATAACGACAGAAACATTTTTTTTCGAACGATGCAACAGTCTCATCGACAATTTTATGTGCAGAAATCTAATGCAACGAACTTTCGTCGAAAATTTTCGGAAGTCGTGCAGTTCCAAGATCCGCTTCCAGAGCCAATCGCTTCGATAAACAAGGACACGGTTCGGACCACGAAAATAAACGTTGCAGGGAACAACGGAGAATCTAAAGAAAACCATTACCATCCCGTAATTACCTCCCCTTTGTTTGGGCTGACACGCATGAAGAAACGGTGCTCGATCTTAGGGTGCCTGACGTTTTGGTTTTCGAAAAATACGCTCCCGACTGATATTAGGTGGAGAAAACAAGACGCCAATACGTCGTACAAAAGGTACTAAGGGAATAGTGGTAGTGGATGAAAGCACTCCGCAATGAGCAGAATAAATAGTTTTCCAGACTAAGGGTACGACCCCGGGTAATTAGTTTCTTGATCGGACACAGTGCGACAAAATAAGAAGAAACACGCTAGGAGAATGATAATGAACGCAACGTGTGACACTTCACCGTGAGTAAAAGTAGCAGTAGAGTGAAGAATTATTCGCTAACAGCGTGGTTAGTTAATTATGTACATGGACCGACGATCCATTGTCGCCTGGAAGAGATAACGCGACCGGTAAATTAAATTAGTGAAATTAATAATTCTTTGCTCTTAATTATATCTAGTAATTAATATTAGTGTTTGTCTGGTTGAAATAAACAAAATTGGCGGGCATTATGATCGAAACAAGCAATACATTTCAAACATTTTCGTCCCTTTGATTCGCGTCCGTAAAGCAACTATTAATTAGTTATATAATTTCTACCAATCCGCCAAAACAGGTTGTCATAATTGTAGATCATTAATTTGTTATTTCACAGGCGATGGACTAATATTACATCCTCGTTGAAAATAGTAAACAGAACAAATATTATTTATTTGATCGAACGTCCAATGTTTCTGTAATCTCGCTCTGTAAAGTCTAAATAAAATAGCTTCATACAATGTCGAGTGGTATTTAACTTCGTATTAATTTTTGAGGATTAATATTTCACGTAACGATCAAATGTATTATAAAATTCGGGACGGTATTTCGAACAGAGAATTTTTAAGAAAAGAACCAAAGACAGTTTTGCGATCAACGTCGCAAATATCATTATTTGGGTAACAACTTCGAGACGCATGAATCAGTTACATACGAGCCTTCGCCAAAATGATCTTAACGCTGGATAATGCACGGATAATGCACTCATTTAAATGCATACTAGCCGGACATTACCTCAGCCCGGTAAGCCCCCCTGGTGCACAAGCCCTGACCGAGTGTGTAGCAGAACTGCGCTTCGACATTTTCCTCTTCCTCTTGACTTTTATAAAGACGTTAAAATTCCTCGAGCAACTACGACGAACGCTCGATAATCTCGCGCGACGCTGAAATTGCACGGGGAACGTTCCAATTTATATCGCTAGCATTTTTCCACCACGAAAAAACCGATCAAGGGGATCCTCGTTACTTCAGAAAAATTTCTCGATGTTTCGGGAGCACGGCGGACGAATAACTGGAAACTGTTAACGGAAGATCCGACTTTTATGCGAGGAATATCGATATCTCGAGGCTTAACAACGAGGTAAACAGTTTTCCTTTTTTTTTATCTGAAAACCGTCTTCTTACAGAACTGCATACTATGTCATTGACTCTTCATTATTATCTAAATTGGGTGGTAGTAGAAGTTACAGCTTGATTTGCGACTATCGATCAGCACAAATTCAACAGTAATATTCCCCTCGTCGATTTCAATATGCTTATTTGTTACTATTATTATTTCATTTAATGTACTTTTTATGCCGAGGAAGAAAACTGAATGGTACGAAAAAAGAAAATTAAATGGCAAGCCGTATGTAACATCGTTTTTCTTACTCCCGTTTCAGTGCCAATAAATATGACCGTAAACCCGATCCATTCGGAAGCATATGAATATCGATGTACATATCTACGTACACTGATCGATTGAGGATGCACATACACGCAGGTCGCGTCAACGAGACAGTTTAAAGTGAAACCGCTTCAAACGGCCAAAAAATCGAATAAAGCGCAGTATTCTCGATGGATGATCGCGAGAAACGCGATATCGTGGTTTAATTCCCCGAAGTGGCTAAATTAATTTCGATATAAGTTAAATAATAACAAATTAATCTATCGATTTCATACTTCCATTATAAATTTCAGTCACTAAAAATTTAAACAGTTAAATGCACATCTAAAGCAACACAATGCAAACATATACAGTAAAATGATTTTCTTACAATTAGTTGCTAATCTTCCATAAATTGCTACCTTCTCGTCGAAACTAATCACGTTCAATTATTAACTTGTTCATATTTACATGATCTACATAATTATTATCTTCGATTAAAATAGTATTAAAGTGATGTAACGAAAAGTATTGTAACGTATTCGTTTCTAATAATTTTCTCTATTTTATTGCTTGAATTTCCACGCTCGCGAAGACCATCTTTGTTAGAGACACCCTGTATATATAGCGCAACCTATAACTATGGCATAATTATAATTTCCGCCACGTTGGGTTCACGACAACCCTATTGCATCAAAACTAATTCGCAGTCGTGATGGACAAGATAGATGTACGGTTGATAGCATGTGTGATACGTATGTATTTGTGCGCGACGACTACGTTTTACACGGTCTTGCACCCACCCGCACGAAACGCTGATGCCGATCGATCATGCGTGAACATCGATGTCGACTAACTTCGAGATTCCGCACTTTAGCGACGTATCTTGCATCTTCACCATAGAATCACCCTGCAGTACTGAGATTTCTAAACTGACTGGTTACTTGCATTGAGCTTTCAAAAATATACGAACTTACAGAGAAGCAATGGCACAATTCGAATATACGTATGTAGAATTATCGTTCTTGTTGTAAATATCATAAAGTAAAATAATTAAATAAAATAAGACGAAAATCAAGAATAACAATTTGTTGATTGAGGCTTCGTTACAAAGTTATTAAAAAATTTCAAATCATTCATGGAAAAATTATATTTGGCTGCGGGGGTCAATCACAATCATTTTTGGTAAATAGACATATCCCCGGAATTCTACGCACTTTCGAGAAAAAAATTCGTGTTGGTAGTGAAATTTTTAGACGAAATTAAAAATTTCAAATCGTTGTAAAAAATTATTTTTGGTTGCAGGGGTCAATTACAATCATTTTTGGTCAATAGACATACCATCGAAATCCTACGCACTTTCGAGAAAAAAATTCTTTACCAAAAATACAATGTGAGATTAGAAATGTTGGTGGCCGAACACCCTGTATATTTCCTTTTATATCGGAAGTTAACCAGTTAATTTGATAAAAAATTTTGTTCAGTGTTAATCACGCCACTCCCATAATCAGCCGGACAGTAATTTAATTGTATTTACAAGCTCTGGTTTCGAAATTACCCAGTTACATATAAACATCTTCGCGGAGCGGAAATTTTAGATCCTTACGGGACCTAATAACTCGCGATACTAACGGGAATCTTTAAGAATTCGAGTCGATCTTGCCCGATATTTCCCGATTCATCCTAAACTGTATTGACTCGTAGTAAACCGTTCTGGGGCCTATGTACATATAAAATTTTTTCTCATTTACATTTGTACACCATATTGGCAGAGCTTAACCCTTCTCTAGTGTACTAAGATACTGTTTTCAAAATTCCAAACAAAAATAACGCACGATCGCGTCATTTTTGGAAGGAACGACTACTAATACGGTGGTTTATCAGTGGCCAACGATGTATGGCCATCGTTGACTAATTTCGAGCGTACCACCAAAACAGCAGGGATATCCAGAACTTAATGGACATAATATTTCCTGCCGACCGAACATACTGAACGCATTCGAGCCTGATGGAATCCGAAATTGGACGCGCTTGAATCTAATCAAATCAAAATGAGGACAAGTGCATTCACATTTTTGTTTTCTTTTACGTCACGTGATAGAACTCACAGATATCAAACTAATTCATTGCTTCATCTTTTATGGACCTTTAAACATACAAACTTTGTATCTTCCCAGATACTGGAAGAGCTGTAAACATAATTACATCCAAAAATCTACCAAACGAAGAAAGGGAACAAGTAACCGAACTAAGTAAATCAAAACAACAATTTTTGTATTTCTTCACTCCTAATGTGTTCAAAATGTGGAACGTCGAAACGAGAATAACTAGTGCAGTTAGTTCGATAAGGAATATTGTATGATCCTGTACCTGAATTTTCACACTTACGGCGCCCTGTACATAAACTTTGTAAATTATATAGTAAGCAGACACGGACAAAGCAAGCAGAACCACAGAAAAGGGGTTTATGTGTATGTTTGCTTTTCCCAGAACACATGTAGGTAAATGCATTGTACACGTGTTTCAAGCACTCTGAACAGGAGTAGATCAATGCCGCTCTGTATGTTGATTCAACTATCTAACCCTAACAACTTGCTCTGTAACTATCGCTCAACTCCAGATTCCATGGCGCATTTCCACCGGATGCGGTGAGATGCGACTCTGTTAAATCTACAGACGGAAAATCTGCTTTCATAAGCCAATACTAGACGTATCGTGCTCGACGTTATTATATTATCAATTACAACTGTAATGAACGCATTTTAACGTTGCAAGTTCGACTGTAACGCTAGAGATCGACAGCGGGGAAATTGCACTATTTCGGTGAAATTAAAAAATTTCAAATCGTTCTAAAAAAATTATTTTCAATTGCAGGGGCCAATTACAATGATTTTTTGTCATTAGACATACGCCCGAAATGTTACGCAGTTTCGAGAAAAAAATTCATTACCGAAAATATAATGTCTGACCATACATTGACATGTTTCCCTGAAATTTCTTCCGAATGGATCGAAGGATTTTAAACCGCTACACCCATATTTCGGTACAAATTCGATTAGAAACAATTAAAAGCAACTGAATCGTATCTATAAAACTTGTATTGTAAGTTTCATCCAGAATGTTTAAAAAGGAGAAGCTAGAATATCTAAGGCTTTCTTATTCTTAATTTTAACTTCGAACCGGGAGAACAGTTTTCTCGAAACGTTTGTTAGTGCTGGATAACGCTTTATCCAGTGCCCGTTGCCTGATATGGATAAAAGCAAAGTTGTTACGAAGGGGTCGTAAGCAGATAAACGAAACAGCGGAGAATGCAACATATTCTGACCGTCCCTGAAAATGTGTTTACAGCATGTTAGGCGGTCGATCATGCGTCACTGATATGCAGGGGCGCCAGGGACTCCGTTCTTTGACATTCCATTATGCAAAATCGTCTTCCTCGTCGTTTCCGAGGCCAAATGCCGCACGACACGTGGTCGATTTCACGTGAATTCGCGCCGATGATACACAGGTCGCGACAGAATCATGGACGCAACAGCCGTGAACGACGAATGGAACAACGAAATTTTAGAGAGAATACACAAAGGGTAACCGTGTATCGAGCTGCAAGTTTCCGAGCATAAAACGATGACGCTGATAGGAACGATAATAAACAATTTCAGAGGAAACCTAACAAGTCGCACGTAACGATGTTACAGTTAAATAAATTACATTACAGAATTGAAAGAATTAAGTGTACGTGTTTAGTACGATGCTGAAGTCCCGTCAGAATAACAAATTTTCCACGTATATCAGAAGAATTTATACGGTGTTCTTCGGTGTTTATTATTGCAGAAATATGATGCAGAATATATTTTTCGTAGGGAAGAACGAGAAAAGAGGTACTAGGAGGAAGATAGACCGTGGATATCAGGACAGAAGAATAAGGCAAACGTGTATGTAGAAGGCTGAGAAATCGTAGAGGTACTCGCCAGAGAGAGCTGAAGGATGACGGATAGAGGTCAGGAAACGACACAGGAACCGGAACCCATTACTCGAGATAACAACTTCCCCAAGGCTTCCTTTCCTTCTTCTACACCCACCCGTAAACCCGATACGCACACAAGTGTGCTCGCGTGAATCCCGGCAATCCGTACGGTAGCATGTATGAATCCGGAAATTTACCACTTCTGTCGCCATTTTACTCGGATACCGTGCAACTGGTGGCTTCTCAATATACCGTCATAAGTGTAAGAAAACCTTGACCACTTCTCGAACGAAAACTAAACGTCTCAAGCACCGCCTAAGCTCCGATTGAAAATTAAAAATTACTCGACCGAATCCGAGAATTGAAACTACGAACACTCGAGGCATAGAATTGTTTATAACGTGTCTACTGTCTCATAGATTTATTTAAAAAGTATCGTGAAATTAAGAAGGAACGGATCCTGAGACTAATTTCCAATTGGACGTTGCGCCCTTGTTAGGTCGCAGTTCACTGCTACTTGCAGCAAGAAAGGAAAACCACAGGAAGAGAAGGCGAGGGAAACTGGAGGTAAAAGGGCCCTGTAAATTTAATTTAATTAGTATTTTCAGAACTATTCGAATAGTCTCGTGAAAGGATTAGCGATATCACACTTTATACAGATCAATTGGATGGCGCTGACGAACATGCGAAGCGTGAAGAGGAGATTCAGGTTGAAATGGAAATGGGCGTCGTGGTGGTAGGGAAACCACCGACGCCGCCACCGTTGCTAAATGGGCTCCGAGCGGGTTACCCAACTGTTGCGCCTTCATCAGAAATTTATGCAGAATCCTGGGTTAACCGTTCCGGCCAATCAGCTTTGTAACTGAGCTAACGTCGTATCAGCGAGGGAACGAAACCGAGAGAGGCCCTGATTTAGTAAAAAGGCCTTTAATATTTTGCACTTTTGGCAACTTGACACGCGCTCTACTTCGACGCACTGCTGGCGAAACTTGCCACCTTCGACTATGTCTTTGGCTACATTTTCATTCTCAAACATCGTGCTACGCTATGAGAGCGTCTAACACGCTTTGGTGTATCGTTCAGGAATATTGTTCGAGATTTCATGTAGATTGGAAGCGTTCGAATACTTTCGTGAAATAAAAAATCACGTTTCTAATGACGAAAATTAAAAAGTGAATGGGATATTGTGTGTTAATAAAATATTTGATAACTTAGCTTGTAAAACCACCGCCCAATTATTGTTTAGAAATGTACGTATATATCACACGAAAGATCGATGATGGAACATACATACAAGTCCAAGTGCATTTCCTGCTCTAAACGGTTTCTATTCAATTGAGATTTGAATTCAAAACTATCGGTTACCAGATAAACTATTGATACCAATCAAACTATTGAAACCGCATATCAAATAAATCTCTCTAATACTCGAAGTAGCAACCTACATCTACATTACCAAAATTAATTTAAGAAACCTCATCTTGGATATAATAATAGCTTAATACTCAATCTGGAAATATTGATTGCCAACTTAAAAAGATAAAGGGGCAATTATATTGTGAGCTACGTAGATAAGATCTGTAAATAGTAGAATGCAGAAAAGTCGTTGCACATATTTTTAAGTAAACACAGGCACATATAAATCATAAAACAAAATATTCGATACTTAAATGCGTTTTAGTAAGAAAGAAATTCCAAAATAAAAAGATTGTGTACATATAGTCGCGTTAAAGAGTGAATTTTATGCAACTCACCGACAAGGGCCAGTATCACTGTAAGTAGAGACGCAGCCGGAAACGATATCGGTAAATTGAACTCCAACATGTGAAGTAGATCCACTGAAACAAAGTGAAAAGAAGTACATTTCACACGAAAAATCAATGAGAATATTCGAGCGAACAGCGAACGATTCATTCACATTGTCTAGTTTCAAAGACGAGGAAGTGTTTGAAAGACTCATAAAAATGGATTTTATATTCTCTTCTCTAAATGCACGGCGTCGAGATATTGTATCGAAATCATTATGCTGGACGACGAACAGATCGAATTTAATATTTATTAGATACTCAGTGACGAAAAGTTTCTGAGCGGAAGGTTATTACCCAAGTTGAGGGCTGTGAAGAAATCGTGTCGCGTTCGACGACTCGGTTCAAAGCTCAATACGAATTAATTTCAAAACTTCCTCGATCTCGATTTAAGTTCTAGCAAACTTTCGATCGGTGCCTCGAGACGAAATACAAGATTTCGCTTTTCTCGACACATCTAATCCATACACAACTTTCCATTAATTTATTCCATTTGCTCTTTTATTGCTACCGCATGCCGCAAAACAATCGTTAATTACTTGGGACTTCGACTGGTAACTTAATCATCCATATATCATCAAATATCGATGTACAAATCCACGAATCGAAAACAATGTCTATTCTACCTCGCTTTGGAAAGGTAATAACAATAATAATTAATAAGATAACTCAACTTTCCAACGTCTTGAATATTTTAATTATTATATACTTTCAAATATTCTTGGAAACTCGTTTGAATTTTGAATTAAAATAAGGTAAATCTCTGGGCCAATTGTAACGAAGATGCACGCCGAGTACTTAATTCTTCATGGGTGATTGAAACTTTCATGAAGGTGCTTTCTTCTATAACTTAATTGAAGCGCAGAGATGTGGTTAAGAAGTTCAGCTATTCCCAAACGACAACGCATGTCTTCTTTATAACAACCCGAGTATCGCTGCTTACAAATTTTCGCCACAACCTTGGTGTTCCGATTTAATGAATTTTAGATTTTAAGATGTCACCCACTAAAGCCAACCCCACTGCTTATTAAAACTCCCGACTACTCCATCTTGCGCTACGTAATCTGAACTCCGCGTGCTACCGAGCGTACCATCAAATTATTTTTCCGTTCTGACGACACAAAGTAAACATGCGAAAACCTGGATGCCCCTCGTACCTCAGATAATAGTCATTGTCTTTCAACAGTCGTACATTACAATAAATATTTAACGACGATTTGTTAAAAATTACTTCGGACTTCCAGCTTTATTACTGCATTTACGTATTTGCAATGTAGAAATTCCGGCGAACGAATTCAAACGGGCTATGCAATTTTCGAGTATTTTCGTTACGCTTTTGAGACGGAGAAATTAGGAGAGGGTTGCAACACAAAGAAAGACAAGTCGGGAAAGGGTACAGAGAACGAAACGATCGAACAGGAGAGAGCAGGAAAGGTAAAAAGAAAGAAAAGGCTCGATGTAACGAAAACAGACTGCCAGAGATAAACATGAATGGAAGACAGAAGACGAGGAGAACTTCGACAGTCCTGAAACTGTCTAAAACATCCGAAACCCACTGGTAGAAGGGGAAAATAAGAGTTACCCTCTACAGTGTTTTCCTATGCAAATTTGTATTTCAAACGATTAACCTGAGAAAATAGCTCTCTTTGCCCGTCAGTTGGTTCAAACTTTCAAATTACTCTGTCATTTCGCCTTTTTTTTTTCTTTAATCTAACTTCCACGTCTTTTGATTGGCATCGGTCAAGCGCCGGGCACTCGTTTTCTTTGTCGATTTTTTAATATAAAACACTTGGCGAAACGAACAACAAAATCATAATTCAAATTAATGAACCGCTCATCGAAAGCAAAATAGTGACAGCGTTTCCTTGATAAATTTTTAACTATTATTGTAAAATAATTAAGTTACCAGATACTTACAGGTTTAATCAAATTAAAATTATATACACCGATAAATCATAAAATTGTCTCGAAAGAATAAGCATAAAAATAAAAAAACACTAATCAATTATCCACGGCGCCACGCGTGCCAAACATAATCCGCATCAAGCAATTTTTAATATAATTATCGTAATAATTACTTACCAATAAACACGAAAATCTGGTGATGCGAATACCGTAGTAACATAGAAACGGAGATAGTCTGAAACGAGAAACGTTTACATTTAATTGTAATACAAATAGAATCTTCAATGCATTCTTTATCGATAAACAATGAAAAGTCACGATAATAATCGCTAATAAATACTTCAAAATGCTTAAACTATAACCATTTTCGTAAGCTTTGGTAAACGTAGTAAATAATGTGTCGGAAGAAGTTAACACCTTGTAAAAAAAGATACGTATATTTTTTTACACAATATCAATGTAATTTTCAATAAAAATTTGAAAAAAAAACTTACGGAATTGCGAGAAATTAATAATTCTTCGATGTTTTATCTGCAATTATTTTTCTGGCCAGCTAAATGATTACCGATATAATTGAGTACGTAATTTAATTAAGCTTTCCCAGACACGGAATCGTGTCGATTAGTACGCGTCGTTGGCAAAAATACATTTAATAGGGGGGGATTGCAACAAAGCTACGTTACGAGATAAATTGCGAGCTGTGCACTCGGTTACCGGGTTGAGAGTGAATAGTGCAATTGAATTGCGATTGGTTCATATTGAACTAGCACCTGACACTCAGGAGATAATTTACTATTTGCAATGGGTAACCTTGGTATTGGAACCGTCTAATCTTACTTTGCAGATGCGCCGCCGTTATTTACAAAGGATGGGACGAAAAAAAATTACTTCGATACAGAACTCTAACAGAGAGTCAGATTAAAATTTAAATAAAACGCGAAAACGTTCACGCAAATTACAACATCCTGTTTTTTATTTTCTCGTAAACCTTGCGTTTTGTTGATCGATTCCTTGTATAACAAAATAACCTTTTTGCGTCGAGACAATATAATTTTCTGATTAAAAACTTTTACATTGCCATTTCTTAAGATTTGAAATATATATAAATGTAAATAGAGTAAGTATTTTTTTTTAAATGTTATAGAATCCAAACAATTACTAACTCGTCTAGTAATCGTACTAGATATAATAAACTCTAAAAAGATTCAATGAGAAACCAATATTTTAAGTCAGAAATATATTAATACTCGTGCGCTCCTCGGGTCATTTTCTACCCCAGACGTCCTTATTTATTAACAAATGCAATTATGGACAAAACAGTAATGAAATTTATATCAGTATGTTTCCCTTTCGTTGGTAAACATATTATTGTTTATGTATTGATGTAATTTTTGTCTCAAAGACCGTCAAATGTATAGTAAAACAGGACTGTTCGAGGATTTAAAAAAAACGCACGAGAAAACATGAAAGGTACAATTAAGAAAACGAAAAGTAGAGGGGGGGATGAGGAGAGGGGGATGGTATTGCACATTGGATCGTATTGTAACAAAGTACCCGATATTACGTGCACATGACGCAAGAGATACGGGGTAATACGTGAATGACGACAGTCCGGTACACGTGACTTTACGGTGGGTTGACCGAGGGTGGTTCCAGATGACGCTTCAAGCACTGAAGTAACATTCACGTGTTGTAGCACGGAATCCACCCATCTCCCGTCTCCACCACAAACTACATTCAAAGCATTTCCAACGCTCTATACATAGAACATTACGTTGAAACTCGACGAAAGAGTAACAACATATTTAGTTCAAAATAGAGGGTAATGATAATCGTCGAGTAAATTGAATCGTTGGATATATTTCCTAATTCTTGTCCTACTGGAAACGCGAGCATCAACTCTGACAAAAGCTTCCTTTTTCGTTTGTGAACGTAATTACTACCACGGAGTACTTATTCAAGATTATAACTTTACGCCACGATAGATGGTTCCAAGTACCTACCTTTCTACTCCTGTGTTCGTTCAATATAATAAGATATTGAGATCTAAAGAATAATCGTGCATCGTTTGGGGATACGACTAGACCACCTCTGAGAAAAATTTTAATGGGAGATTCTAGAGGCAAAAATAAAACGAACATCAAGTGTACCAATTTGTTGATTGAGGCTTCATTAAAAATTTATTAACGTTTAAAGTTGCGCCTGTAGAACGGCAATCTGTGAACAGCTGCATGCATGCGATAGTGGTTCTCACTCAGCATGAGAAACTCTACTTACTGATGTATCGACAGCCTTACAGTTTTCTGAGTGAGAATCACTAAGCAGCTGTTCTACAGGCGGAACTTTAAACGTTAATAACTTTTTAACAAAGCCTCAATCAACAAATTGGTATTCTTGATTTTCGTCTCACTTTGGCCCCTAAAATCTCCCATTAAAATTTTTCCCAGAGATGGCCGAACACCCTGTATGTAACTATTTTAGTATTCTAGCGCTCTGAATTTGAACGTTTCTTCTCGTAAAATTACCCATGTATGGAATAATTGGCTTTTCACTATATACGACGTGACCATGTAGATATAAACTAGATATAGGCTACTACATAATGCATAGCATTTGAATCATGGTTAGTGGTATGCAGTATTACTCATTTATTCGCATGGTGTGAACCCATTAAACACGAGCGCAGCTATTCGTTGGTGCGTATATGATCCAATCACTTCCTAACACCCGGGGAATACTCTGAAATTTCACAACCCATCTGGCATCCGTGTTGTATATGTTGAAACATAGGTATCGATAATGGATTGATATAATTATATGTTTGATTACATTATCCGTTAGCAACAAATTTGTTTAAAATATCAATCGTTTGTAACAAAAAAAAGAGGAAACTTGGTTGCATGTTGAAACAAAAAAATGTCGAAACTAACAACCTGGTTATATCGGTTAGATATTTCAGTCGAAATCGTTGTTAACTTAATTGTCGATAACTGATCAAACGTTGCATATGCAAAGCACACTTTTGATACAATGGAAAATTCCTGAAAATTAGTATCGTCTCTGACGCGATGGCGCAACTTATTTGGGGACAATTTGATACAAAATTACTGGCTTGGGGCCTCTGAAACGAATATGATGCCCCTAATAACGTTGATTTATGCCCAACGGTTCAACTCCAAAGGGATCGCAGGTTGTGAGGATACAGGGGGTTGGAGGGTTATACGCGGGTGATCTCAGTGCGTTACTTTGAATTGATTGCCATATCCTTTTACATGTACCAAGCTGTCGTGTGGATACGTATGATACCATCCCCTTGACGGGGAGGAATATATCCGGATCGAAAACACGTAGCACATGAAACTAAATCTAATTTACACCTCCAGAACATTCTAGACTCGTTACAGATGATGCTTATAATATTATAACGCATAATTTATAACATAAATTGCATAATTTAATTTTCTACTGCGTGTAAAGAAACTTAAATAAGCACAATAGAAATTTATGAAATTTAATATTAGAAAATATTTTCTACTAATTCGTCCAAAAATATAACTCAACATTTGAGAAATAGAAAATTCAGATATTTAAATCTTACTTCGAATACCAAACATGCATAAAAGTATATAAATGTGTGCAACCTCGCAGTAAATCGGAAATAAAACAGATTTGTATTTTCGCGTAACTTTCTTTTAAATATTTGCTACTGTAATGTGATAAACATTTAAACTCGAATACAATTGCACACGCAATTTAATAGAATTCAACGTAAAAGTAATGCGCTTTATATCTATAATTAGAAAAATGTACTTACAAAAATTAACATGATGCAAAATGCAGCAAGATACGACGTTCTGGCCATCCACAAGCTTACAAATCGATAATGTTCTCCGGTTACCACATTTCTATAAAATATTATGATTTTTGCAATCAATAAAAAATTTATTTAATTTAAAATATAATAATGTTTAATAAGTTATTTACCGTAAAAAGCCTTTATTGTCTTCGTGCTCTGCCAGTGTCTTAATACTCGTCATTAGTAAATCATCATATCCCAAGAATTCATCAAGTATTAATCTCGAAAAATCATCACCAAAACATTTGTCATTCATAGGATCCAAAGTAACAACTTTTACAGGAATGTTTAATCTCTGTCTGGCTGCAGGTGACAATCTCAAGAAACCATATTCCAATGAATATTCAACAATATAACCATCGTCTAAAACAATAAATAATTTTCAATAATAACAACAAAATAATATATTGTATTAATACTTCTGTTTTAGACTGAAATAAATATAAGCTAAGCTAGGTAAATTTTATTCACAAATGAGTAAAAATTTTAGCTCTCGTTCATGGTTTACCCATTCTGGATGTTGGTTTAAAAAATCCATTAATGGATTCTAATTTAAGAATGATACGAGCAAAAATTGGTTTCAGAATGAATATAAAATTTTTAGTCGTTATACACATAAATAAAATTGTAACCTTACTTGAAATTGTAAAATTTTTTAGCGATTTCAAGAGATTCGTGTATTTCGCGTATATAGTGGTTAATTTCGATACAAGTGAATCTGTGTAGTTCAGTAAACAATTAAATATGTATGTAACCTTAAAATATTAATATTTTATTACATGTAATTATTTCATGTAGAATAATGTTTCCAAATTTTCGAATACGGTAGAGTCTCGATTATTCAAGTATTATCAGAGGTGTTTTGAGCTTTACGGTAGAAAACTTTCACTGAATTAAACAATTACATAATTAAACTGAAATATATGTACAATATTACATTATTAGAATGTTTTTCATGATTTTATTCCATGATTAATAAACATTCACTGATCCTTCCGTGTTATCCGAGATAATCTCGATCCACATTATCTCGGATAATCGAAACTATTGTACAGTCGAAAAAAGTCGATCGATTAATCGAATTAATTGAGAAACAAATCCGTATAGATAAACGGTTTTTCAAATGAAATAAGACATGTAATTATGAAATAACTAGTAATTAATTATTGTAATAAACATTGTTAATTGAAACACTGTTGTATGTTATAAAAAATATTAATAATACAGATACACATGTATCCAAATATACGTATATACGTGTCTCGAAAATTACACGAATTTAAACATGTGTATATTTAATATATTTAATGTACATGGGTACATTTTTTTCATATATAAGATAAACGTGGGTGAAACAACGGACAATTAGTACTCGAATAAAATTTGCCCAACTCTAGATATAGCTTATACAATGACTACAATCATCCCACTTTGTTTTAAATTGCATCATATTTATACCTGTTCTAGCAAACTTATCAGATTCAAAGTTTTGCTCTTTTAAAAGTTGGATAACATCTTCTTTATCTAATTTATTTGCATCGGGTCCTGTGGTTCTATTTTGTGCGCTTTCTAGTAATACTGTCTTCTCATTTGATGTCTAAAATATTAATTTGAAATAACATTTAAAATTGATATCGTAAATAATATATTCAGTATTTGTTCAATTGTTGATATTTACTTCTTTCTTGTCTATATTTAGATCATTCCAAAATGTTGTAGATAGTAAAGGACTTGTATTATTTATACTTAATTTTGGATCTTGTGCATCGCCGGAAACAGTAGCACCTCTGATAACTATATCTTTCTTGGGTAATGATAAATTATCATGACTTTCTTCATTAGACACATTTGTAGTATCACTATCTTCATCAACAGCAGATGGTTCAATGATAATAAACCTGTTAATGAAATAAGACGAATAAATAAAATGATAAAAAGCAATTACTCTTTAATAACGAATCAAATATTAACTCCTCACCCATCTCTAGTTAATATCCCCAAAGCATTAGTTAAGTCATCAACTTTTTCTTGTCTTAATTTCTCTTCTTTTACGTAACTCTTTTCTATACTATAATCTTCTCCTCCATTTCTAAGTATTTCAACTCTTAATATACCATCTCGTGGCCAATCATCTCTTATATGTTCCAAACAATTAGCTGGTACACGTGAAAATACTATGTGAATATAAGCCAGCACAAAAAATGCTAATATAGCCTGAAAATTTGTAATTTGTAATTATTTGTTTTATATTACAATAATTCAATAAATCTATTAAAACGTTTATACATATATCACATTTAATAGAATAAAAAAAAGATAAATTACTTACCTTTAATAAAACTATAAATTCAATAAGTCTCCTGACATGCCTTGGAAATGTTCTTGCATATGTTAATGCAGCCTTAATAAACATTGCATGAAACAATCTGTCCCTCACATTAACTAATGGGATTTGATTATTATTATTCCCAGTGGTATTCATGTTATTATTATTCAAATTTGGCTGAGTTGCACCACCAGCAATATGATTGTTATGTATAGCCGCACCGTTCTGATTATTTGTTGTTGGTATAGCACCACCATCCACTTCAGACATTTTAAATCTTATGTAATATTTATTTTCAACAAATGATTCTGTAGTAATTAATAACTTTTACCCATAAACATTCAAGTTACCTTTTGTATATCCTGTAACAAATAACACTTATAATAGACAAGGTCATCATATTAAAACATTTCTGACCTGCTATATACTTCTGTGTTATAACATAATAGATCTTAAATGCGAGAATAAATAATTCGTAACCATATTCAATTTTTGCTTTAAACTAAATTAAGCATGAAATTCGTTATCGTTTATATTAAATAATAAACTACTTTAAACTTATATGATAGATTTATATATATAGTATTTTAAACATTATTGTTTTAACATATAATTAATATCTTAAATGTACATCATTTTTCTGCAGACATATGGAATGTATACAAAACCAAATTTACTTGAATTATAAATTTTTATATAGTAAATAATAAAAAGAAAATATTAATTGTCATAATCATGTAAAATAACGTTCACATATAAAGATAATAATTAATAACATAATCATAATCAACATAGAACATAACCTTTAACACAGTGTTGTTACATCTGCCACATTTTTCACGCATGCGTAATCCGTCACTAAAGACAGTAGCGTACATAATAAAAGAAACCAATTTTACCCGACTCGCACAAGTAACAGCAACAAGTAAAACAAGCCGAGGAATTTAAAGTAAAAAAACAAATAATACTTGTACTATATGTTACACAACCATCAAAACTTGTAAAACAAATTTAATGAAACATTCACTGATCAAACATGTAGAAAATATGATGTCATAATAAAAGCTTCAATAATGTTAGCTACACTATGTCGCGTACAAAGTAAAACGAGCGGAAATAAACTTAGCAGGATTTTTTGCTGAATATAATATTGCTTTTTATACCAGAAATAATTTAGTTCTTTCGAGGGGAAAAAATGCTGTATAAAAATACTTCATTTGAAAAATTGTTTTTCAAAAGCCGAAAATGTACAATGAAGCTGTAAGTAAAATATATGTTATATATATTGATTGCGTTTTGTTGTAATTTATTTACTTGTATTATGGTGAGTCAAGTTGTATATATATATGCACATTTTTTGTATTTGCAAATAATTTTTCTCAAATAACAAAACAGGGGTCCATACAGCATTCTTTTCCACACGGACAAAACACTTCACTGACACAGTTTTCAACACGCTTGCGCGAAAAATGCGGCAGATCAAACACTGCTGTAATGTTACTATACGAAGCATTATAACCTCATTTAATAATATATAAATTTTGCAATAGAAATCAATGATAATCTGAATAAATATTAATATAATTTCAAGATTATTCATAAACTTGTTTTTATTTATGTTAAATGCATCAAACACATTATTGATACATAACAATATATGCCTATCTGGTAATAATATATTTAATTATGTAATTAAATAATTTAGAAAAATAATTTTTGCACATGCAGACAGCTTTGAATAATATTATTAACATTGTACAATGCATATATTTGTTTCCAAATCATTATAACTTCCATATCATACATGACATAAACAGCTGTTAAAATTTTAAAACAAAATCACCTATATAATATTCTTTTTAAAAGCTGAACATTAAAATTAGCACTGAATTATCAACAATAGTATTCCTCTGCATTACTATGGACGATTACAATTTTCCAAACAATTGATATTCTAAGTTTTGACAAATATATCATAATAATCTTAATTTATTTCCATCAGAAAATATATCAACGGTAACTGGTGAGAAAAAAATATTAAACAGAGAAACTGATGTATTACAATAGTTTTCGATCTAAAAAATCATGCTTTTATATTTTAATAAACAATTTTAAGTATACAAAATTTCAATACATAATTTTTTAACAATATCTGTTAAAGTAACAGGTTAACCTGAATTTATCAACAATTATGTATCTTTTAAAAGACAAGAAAGCAGATGCAGATGTAAAATTAGAAAGTAGTTGCTTCATAATATTGAGAAAATTAAAATAGTTTAAGAATGATAATTCCAAATACGTTAAATTCTATCTACGAAACATTAATTGTGTGTATGTAAGTATTAAATTGTAGAAATATATGAAGTAGGTATTGTATTGATATATACACATATTTTTCACTATTATCCTAAACACATAAAAGAATAGGTCTGTGTATCAATAACATATTTCGTTACGTAAGTAAATAATTTAGAAAATTAGTAATTATATATCGCAAACAAATTTAAATAATATTATTCATCCTGTATTTTACAATGCGTATATTTCTTTTCGAATAAATCGTTATGACCCGAACGTGACATTTTACAGATAACATACGAACCGCTGGTAAAATTTTCACACACAAATCAACCATATCGTACCTTGTTTAAGATCTGAACAATAAATATAACGCTGTATTTCCAACAAAACTATTCTTCTGCATGTCACTAAGGATAATAACAGATTCGTAAAAATACAGATTGTAAGTATTAACAAATTCGATGCTCGTCAAATTATCACTTCATCATCATGTGTTTTGATATTCTACAACACGTATATACTAGTTCCTAACCCTATAACGTTGCCAACATTATAATACGAGAGTAGTCGAAAAATACACTATTTCGAAAAGTTTCTATCTATTACTGATTTTTATTGGTATTTTATTATCGATGGACCAATAAAACAATTTGATCATTTATTTGTATTTCACTATTGATATAGTAATTTGAAGCCGAAGTGAAATATGTTTAAACGACAAAACTCGCTATTTACACACGTACGCACAACAAAATATACACCACAATGTTTTGAATTGTAACCGATGTATTTATTTGTAAATTACCATTATTTTAATATAATAGTAAAACGTTCTCAAAAGTACTATATATTTTTGTGTACTTTCAACGATAATTCATATTCGAGTGAACATTGGAATGAATTAAATATAATATTTTAAAGTTTGACAGTATTATTGAGAATTATGAATTCACCAAGATCACCGCAAACTCCGTTGAGTTTTGAATTAAAAACAATTATAAATAATAGAAATGTTTTGAGCACCAGGAACCGCTTGAAAGGTATAATTAAAAGTGTCTTTGTGTCGATTAATTTTTACATATAATATTTAATTATTTTTGTTATAGTTCTTAACAGTTTAAATGAAAGTAATCAAAGATATTTAGAAGAAAAGGAGAAAGATTTAAGATATCAAGCCATTCAAGAAATTTTAACAACAGAAGTTACTTATTTACGACAATTAGAAATACTAATGGAGGTATTTTTTACTTGTCTTCATGTCTATTTGACTATTTAAACAAAATTATATATAAAATAAAATTATTATTTTTTTCAGTACTTTGTACAACCTATGTTTAAAAAGAAACTATTAGATCACATTTTACTTTCAACGCTATCCGAAAATATAAAAACATTATACAATGTTAGTGGAGAATTAGTAAAAGAATTAAAAGAAGATCCACAAAATATAGCTGGTGCATTTTACAAACTTGCTCCATTTTTTAAGTTATATTCTGTGTACGCTTATGATTACGAACAAGTTTTATCCTTGTTACAGGTATGTTATTATTTAAAAATTTCTCTGTTAAAAACTATTTTTATATGCTATTCTATCAAGAATGTTTTTATTTATCAACACTCTGTATATAAAATATTTATTTTTCAGACAAATCAAGAAAGCAACTGTGCATTCAAAGATTTTATTAGCAAACAAGAATCAAGACCTGAAGTTGGTAGAAAATTACCTTCATTATTAATTACACCAATACAAAGAGTGCCTAGGTATAAGTTACTCTTACAAGAAGTCTTGCAACATACACCTAATAAACATAAGGAATATAATCTTTTGCAAGGTAACTGTAAAGTAAGAATTCAAACTATTTCTAATGTAAAAATGTTGTTTAAGTTATAATAATAATATGTGCAAAATAAATGAATTGTATTTATAGTGTGTTTAGTAGAAGTTGAAAAAGCAGCAAGGCATATAAATGCTTTAATTGAACAGCATGAAGAAGCACAAAACTTATTGAAGCTACAAAAATGTATTGTAAATCCAATTAATTTGGTAAAACCTGGTAGAAGATTTATTAAACAGGGAGCATTAATGAGAGTGTCAAGACGAGGAAATTCTGCATATAGAAGATATTTTGTTCTTCTAAGTGATACTTTACTATATTGCAAAGGCGATCCAGATAATTCATTAACTTTATGTTGTGTTTTACCGTTAAATAAATGCAAGGTCGAATGTGTTTTAAGCGGTGGACTGTTTCGCGTTACTTGTTTAAATGAAACGCTGCTACTTTATTCAGAGAAAGATGATAGCAATTTATGGATAGAAGTAATACAAAATTCTATAAAAAAGGTATTATTAAACAGCATTCCTATCCAAATATTTTATATAATATAATTCATACTATTTCTTTTATTATTTTAGTATGCAGAGTGTAGGCAAACCTTACGAAAGGATAGTAGTTCAAGGAAACCATTAAGACATAATAATCTTAATCTCTTTCAATCTGAAAATATATCAACGAATGCTGGTAAAAGAAAAAGATCAAACGAAGAAACTGAGGTGATACAGTAGTTTTTGACCTATGAAATCATACTTTTTATTTTAATAAACAAAATGTAGAGCAAAAGATCCAGATACATAAATAGATCATATTTGTTCAATTAATAGGTTAATCTGGATGCATCAAGAATTATGTATCTCAAAAAGGATAGAGAAGCAGACGCGGATGTACAATCGGAAAGTAATTGCTTTGTATTATTCAACAAATTGAAAAAATTAAGAACTAGTGACAATTCCGAATACGTTGAATCCTGTGTACAAAACATGAACTATGTAAGTTCAAGTATTTAATTGAAAAAATATTCAGGGTAGATATTGCATTGATTTATGCACACTTTTCCACAGAATATTACAGGTAAAGAAAATGTATATTATACAGAGAACACAACGTCATGTTTATCTCCTATTCCTTCTTCAAACTTTAATCAAGAGACCTCATCAACATTTAAATCTATCAGTGAATTCTTTTCATCTATTGGATCATCTTTAAAAGAATTTTTTAAATTTAGATAGCACAATTGAATTAATGTAATAAGTTATGGCAACAAAGTTGTTGGTGTAAATAAATATAATTACTAAAAATCATAAACGAATTTTTAAGAAAAATCGACGGGGGGTAAAGTGTCTAAATTTTCCGGCGAAAAATATAATGTGGGGTTAGAAATGCTTTCCTGAAAGATCATGCGTATGTTTCAAACATCATAACTTCTGATCGGAGTAAAGGATTTTAATGTTTCAAAATGCAAACAACGCGTATTTTGCTGTAGAATATGTAGAAATTTCAAGACTAATCGGAAAGTTGTTCCTTAATTACGTGAAGTGACAAAAACTCCATAAAAATCGTCCTGCGCGGTAAGATATGTCGACTTTTCCCACTACTGCGTTGGACGTTAAGGAAGTTCGTCGTTTCTAGTGTCGACGTCGATGCATTTAATTATGCCAAATCTGGTCACACTGGTCATGACATAGCCATGACCAATACCTACAAATGATAAGGGAAATCAAATTGTTTATCATATAATTAATAAAATATCATTTCTGATACAGGTAGGATACATTTTTAATATTTAACAAAAGATATAAAAAAATATCACGAATTCGTAGGAATGATAAGTAATCAAGAACACGACAAATACATCTTTTAGAATTTCACAATTAAAAAAGGAGCTGCGTTTTTTAAAAAATCACATTTTGTATACATACTTTTCTTATTAATATGTTGAAAAAATGTGTTTAGTTTTTAAATATATTAATTGAAGTATACACGATACTTAAATGAATTTTGTGATAGGTTATGTTTATGTATTCTAATAAAATTATTCCGCATAATAAAAATGTACTGTATTTAAAGAGAATCTATAGAAGGCATTAGTAAGATTTTTATACTACAGAAGCATGCATATGGCAAACACTACATGTAATGTAGTAATAACAAGTAATAGTGAATGAATACAATTTATAAATATAAGTAGTTCCCTTTAGTAGAACACAACCAAAGCCTATATAAACATTTTTCTGTTAAAATTAAATTACTTTAAGAATTTTAATTCTTCTCAAGCACTTGTAGTTTTATATTGCTTTTTAATACACAAATTATATTTATCTTTATATATATATATATATTACTTAAATAAAATATATCCATTCATTATAGCATAAATAGAATATTTTAAATATGAATGGTATAATACCTGAAATGGAACAAATCATCAGTCAACTAGAAAGGGGGACTGTGGTAACAAAATTTTTTTCAAGGAAAAGACCAGAAAAAAAGACTCTTATGATACGAAGAGAAACGAGACAAATTGTATGGGCAAGAAGTGCAACATTTAAACCTTTTGACGGTTCAGGTAAAAATAGTTAATTCCTTAAACAAAATTATAACAAGATCTCTAATAATTTAACATTGTTACATGTTTAAGAGGAAGCAAATATTTTTATTTATCCATTATTATGCATTAAATGAAGATCAATTAAGTAATAATAGAAATGTTAATATATCTATATCTCTACATCTCCAACATGATAGTACTTATTAAATTTGCATATATTAATTTGATACTGTTGAAATAAAATTCCACCTAATATTCTAGGCACACATTTTGCATGGTTATGAAGATATATCTACAGCAAAAATGGGCAAAATATTATCTGAGGATACTAGTTATAGGTCAAAAACCTGAAGGAAAGGTCCTTGTGAATAGTGTATATGGGTGAGTTTATGATAAAGATACAATCTAAGTCAGTTAATAAATTTCATTTAATAAGATTTTGCACACACATTTGTGTTCAATGTAGAATTAAATTATATTTGTTTCTGACTGGATAATTTAGTAATTTGACAATACTACATTAAATATTCTTATATGTAACTTAGTGGACATTTCCTTCATTTTTGGTCTACAAACAAATGTGCCCATGGATACTGTTGATATATTGAATCAGCCCTAATGGATATCATGGGTCTTTAATTTAAAAAGAAACTTTTTTTCACTGATTTTATATATTACAGCAGAACATTAATACATAACATATGAATCAGAAAGTACTTAATAAAGAAAAGTATTTTCTGTTTTTTGAAACACTTAATACTTGAAGCATTACTTTTGTATATTATTTTAATATATAATATTTATACATATATAGGTATAATGCATAATATACATATACGAAATAATATATGTATTGTTAAATGCATTACAAATGTATAAGATCTATTAAAGAAGATTTTATTCCTTCTGATTTTAGTTGAAATAAGAGAAATCAAAGAAATTAAGGTTGGAAAACATTCTAAAGACTTTGAAAAATGGCCAGAAGATGCAAAAAGAATCGAGAATCTGAGATGTTTTGTTATATATTATGGTTCTGAATTTCGACTTAAAACACTTTCAATTTCTGGTAAATATATTTTAATGGTTTAACTATTGGATCTGTAACTATTTTAATATTTCCTTTTAATATTATACATTTATATTTTTATATTAAAACACACCAAATTTTTCTTAAAGTATGTTTTTGCATGCACCTGCTTCTATGTATTTATTTCAGCCCTTAGTGAAAAAGAATGTGAACTTTGGGTAAAAGGGTTACGTCGTTTAGTTCAAGATACTATAAAAGCTCCATATCCTTTACAAGTTGAAAGATGGCTAAGAAAAGAGTTTTATGCAATGGAAAATTCAAGAGAAACGTAAAAAATTTATAATTCTTCACTCATAGCTTTAGATTCCTTATATAATTTGTATATACTTTTTTTTATTATTGTTAATATTATTAATATATTTATGGATGTTTTAAGTTTTTTAATTTACACACTTCTAATTTAATAATTTACATTCACAGGGTGACTGTGAAAGATGTAAAAGCATTTTTGCCTAGAATTAATTGTAAAGTGGCAACAAATCGACTTCGGGAACTTTTTCAAGAAATAGATACAAGAAACAGAAATGAACTTGGTTTTGATGATTTTGTTATACTTTACCATAAACTTATGTTTGATCAAAATGTAAGTTTTTGATTATTGATGTTACTATGTGTATATCTCGTTATAAATTTACATATGCAATGTTGTATGCACGCACTCACACACACACACTTACACACACACGAAAACTCGTATATATAATTGTTATGTACATTATAATTTTACTTTCACAGAATTTCACAGATTGGAATACATTGCTCAATTATTCTACAACAGGGCCAATTGTTACTGTTCACGATTTTCAAAATTTCTTAACAATTGAACAACAAGATCCTTTAGGAAATAATGAAGTAGAAGTTTCTTGTTTTATTAGAGACTATCTACAAGATCCCCAAAGAGATGTACAAGAACCACATTTTACATTTTCTGAATTTATCGATTTTTTGTTTTCAAAACAAAATTCTGTTTGGGATACAAAATATTCTCGAATATATCAAGACATGAACAAATCTCTATCACATTATTGGATTGCTTCATCGCATAACACGTAAGCATATTCCTTGCCGTCGGTGACTTATACTCAAAACAAGTAAGTGTATTAATTAAACAAATATTATTACAGGTATCTAATGGGAGATCAAATTAGCAGCGAAAGTAGTTGTCAGGCTTATGTACGTGCATTAAGAACTGGATGTAGATGTATAGAGCTTGATTGTTGGGATGGACCTGATGGGATGCCATTTATTTTTCATGGTCATACACTTACCACAAAAATAAAATTTTTGGATGTTATTAAAACTATTAAAGAGCATGCATTTGCTACATCAGAGTAAGTATAAATAAATATCTGATATTTTATTTTAAAAAGCAAAATATAAATATATTTTTTACATAGTTATCCTGTCATTCTATCTATCGAGGATAATTGCACGCTACCTCAGCAACGTAAAATGGCAGTTACAATGCAAGAGGTATTTGGTGATATGCTGTTGATTCAGCCTGTAGATAAAAATGAAACTTCTTTGCCATCACCACATGCATTGAGAAGAAAAATTATATTGAAACATAAAAAATTACCTGATGGTGTTGATGAAACATCGTTTCTCATTAGAAGCGATGAAAGCAGGCAAGAAATGGATCTGAGAAATACAGTAAAGAATGGTATTCTTTATCTTGAAGACCCCGTTGATAGAGAGTGGAATCCTCATTTTTTTGTGCTCACTCAACAAAAGTTGTTCTATACGGATACATTTTCTAGAAATCAAGAGATTGAACATGATGACGATGAAGAAGGTATAGCTCGGCGGCCAACAGATGTACGTATATACAATATATTTATTTTAAATGACTCACGTTTTACTAAAGTCTTATTGATTGTGATATAGGGTGTACCCAATGATGAATTACACTTCGGAGAAAAATGGTTTCATGGTAAACTGGCAAGAGGAAGAGAAGAAGCAGAGGAACTGTTACGACGTTACTCTCATCTTGGTGATGGTACTTTTTTAGTCCGACAATGCGTCACATTTGTGGGAGATTACTGTCTTTCCTTTTGGCGTAAAGGCAAAGTAAATCATTGTCGTATTAAACTCAAACAAGAAATGGGTCAAACACGATACTACCTTATTGACACAAATTGCTTTGACAGTTTATACAGCCTAATTACACATTATCGTAATCATCCCTTAAGAAGTCAAGTAAGCGTAAACAAGATATAGTACTTTATTATTTCTAAGTTATATAGTTATTTCATTGACTAATCTTAAAAATGAAATGAAATAGGAGTTTTTAATCACGCTTCAAGAACCTGTCCCGCAACCAAATAAACACGAAGAGAAAGAATGGTGGCACGTTGACTGTACCCGAAGTTTAGCCGAGGAAATGTTGAAACGCATTCCTACAGATGGAGCATTTTTAGTAAGACCCAGTGAAAAAGAAAGCAATTCTTATGCTATTTCATTTAGGTAAAACATTTTAAAATACTACTAAAGTACAATATAAAATGATAATATCTAATACTATTGCGTTATAAGTTATGTTGTAATGTTTTCATTTGGTTTCAGAGCAGAGAAGAAAATTAAACATTGTAGAATCAAACAAGAAGGACGTTTATATACTATTGGTACTATACAGTTTGAAAGCTTGGTTGAATTAGTTAATTATTATGAAAGACATCCATTATATAAAAAAATAAAATTAAGCCATCCTGTAAATCAAGATTTTATTAGAAGAATGGGATTGGTATGTAATATATTGTCGATGCTTTCGTTTAATAAATGGTTTTTCTTGTTGAATTATTTAATTATCTTTTCATATTCAGGATACAGATGATGGCTCTGTTTATGGTATACCTGGATATATGGATCCTACAAGTTTTACATCAAAAGTAAGTTATTACAATAATAAATTTACTTAATTAAATAGCAACAGCAAGCAGTACTACAATAATTATTTATCAGAAACATTACACTTTCAATTTGTTTTAAAGGTGACTGTAAAAGCAATTTATGATTATAAAGCAAGGAGAGAAGATGAATTAACATTGGTAAAACATGCTATAGTAACAAATGTGCATCGACAAAGTGGTGGCTGGTGGCGAGGAGATTATGGCGGTAAAAAGCAACATTGGTTTCCTGCTAATTATGTAGAAGAAATAGAACCTCAAGACAATCAGGAAGATGTAAGTCTACTATATATTGCATTGATTTTCAATATAGTTAATGTCAATATTATTATTACTTTTAGTCGGCAGATTTCATGATGTTTGGTAGTCTACAAAAAGGCTCACTAGATATTATGGGTGCTGTTGTTGAATTAAGGGTAGGTGGAAGGCCTGGACTAGAATGGATATTAAGAATACAAAATCCTAGTATGTGTTCAGTATTTGAAGTGGCAACGCCTTGTAAAGATACCGCATTAGAATGGATGGCAAGCATTAAAGAAACTGCTCAAAATGCTAGTGTCAGGGTAAACATGACATTTCGTACACTTAAGTAATTATCAAACGGACAATGAATTCAAAAAATTAATTACATGTTACATTTCTTTTTTCAGGAAAATCAACATAAAGAGATGGAACGTGCATGGAGAATAGCAAAAGAAATGTCAAATTTAATAGTTTATTGTAGGTCAGTGGCATTTAATTTAGAGCGAATAAAGACAAAAGGTTTTGTATTTACTGAAATGAGTAGCTTTCCCGAGACTAAAGCTGAGAAACTTATGTGTCAACAAGAAAACAAATTTTTTATAAAGTATCATCAGGTAAAGCAATAGAGGATTAACGCCATTAATTATATTTGCAGAAAGAAATTTCTAGTAATCTAAAATTACGATTTTAAAGGTTCAATTTAGCAGAGTATACCCGAAAGGGCAACGTATTGATTCGTCAAATTATAATCCTGTGCCAATGTGGAATTCTGGCTGCCAAATGGTAGCGTTAAATTATCAAACTGGAGATAAGTCAATGCAGCTCAATCAAGCAAAGTTCAGAGAAAACGGCAATTGTGGTTATATATTGAAACCTGAATTTATGTTTAAAGATGATTTTAATCCATATGATAAAAGTTGCTTACAAGGATTAGAGCCTGTTAAATTTAATTTAAAAATTATTGGTGCTAGACATTTAATTAGATCAGGGAGAGGTATAGCCAGTCCTTTTGTTGAAATTGAAATTGTGGGAGCTGATTTTGATAGTAGCACGAAAATAACAACCAAAACAATACGTAAGTAAGATAAAATGATATGTTCCTTACTATGACAATTATACAATAATCGTATTACAATTATAGCTGATAATGGATTTAATCCTATATGGAATGAATCTACTGATTTCGAAGTTATCAATCCATACTTTGCATTCATACGATTCATTGTGCAGGATGAAGATATGTTTGGTGATAGTAATTTTATTGGACAAGCTACTTATCCCGTATGTATTAACTACAAAAACACGCTACACTTTTTAAATTCCTAATTGCATACTACATTTTCCTGGACATATCTGTACATTTAGGTCCGGTGCTTACGATCAGGCTATAGAAGCGTTCCATTAAAAAACAATTATAGTGAAGATCTTGAGCTTGCATCGTTATTAATACATCTTCGAATTACATCTTCAGGCGTAAGTATAAAACTAAATTACAATTCGATTCCGTTATACAGAGTGTTATCGGATGGGGGCAGTACCATCGGGCAGAGGGTGATTACATGTATGCATTACTTTATACAAAAATGTTTATTTTAGTCACATTCGCATAATTTATAAAACCAATGGTAAATTACGGACAAGCCTTGAACTGTTTAATGCACATTAGAATTGAGAAAAGGTAAGGAATTTAATAAATTGTAGTTATAAATTAAATACTATTTAATTATTCAGTATTGCATAATAAAAATTCTATTATTCAGGTTTAGCATAAATATCACTAGATGAAATATTTTGATTAGAAGCTTAAATAAAACATCAAGACTGGTTATCTACAAAGGTTATCTTTCAAATTGAAATTTATGATTACAAAAATAAGTATACTTATCTTTGTATCTAATTACATAGATAATTTAGGAATATTATTATTATTATTATTATAATATATGTATAGTATCAAAGAAAAAGTAGTAGAGTAGTTGTTACAGTATTGAATAAAGAGTGGAAGAGATATATTTAAAAAAGTTAGATATGAAAAATACAATAATGTCTCATTAAAAAATGACTAGTTAATATTGCAAAAGTTGTATATGGCATATTGTAAAGATTTTTGCAAATTATTGCGAAAAATATCCAAAAGTATCTATCTATTACTTAGTATATAGTTCACTTAGATCATTTGCATCCGAAAAGGTAAATAACTTATAAAAAAGCAATGTGATTTAGTATAACCATTTTTGAATTTGTTAAAGTGTAGAAAATAACAAATTAGGCAGTAGCATGACAAAATATATCTTCATTTATATTATATTGAAGTTACGAAAACAGCAAAGTTTTATACTATAATATATTTTAGACTGAATTAATTAATATACAAAATACGCTTTTAATTCTTTTACAGTTCTCGAAATATTGTTTTCACGTTAATAGTATTTATTTATTATTTCAAAAATAAATAGTTAGTAGCTCGACAATATGATACACAGAAAAATTACGAGATGTTAATTTTACTTTAAGAAACAATATAAATATGCTTTTATATTACATATCGCAAAACTACATATATTTTTGTCCATCAATAGAATGGTACAAAAAAATTATAGGACTATTTTTTACAAACATAAAACATAGGAATATTATTTTACATTTTTCTATATTCTTGTATAAAATTATAGATTTTATTTTTCACAAATTAAATCCATGTTTATTAATGTTATAATTAGTGCAAATTTTTATAATTAGAAATAAGTTGCTTGTTTAAAGGTGATAATAAAAATGTATTGTATGATTTAATGTATTATATTTTATTAGGCACATTACTTATTGATCGCATCATAATTGATTAAATTTTAATTTACTTTGATTTTAACAAATTTGAACAAATTATACATTTATTAATAAACAAAAAGCTATTTAAATAATTAGTCTTTTTTTTACAAGAGTATGTTAGATTTATCTAACAATACCTATTTAATGTGCCTTTTTTTTTAAAGTTATTGGCTTAAATATGTTATTATGCACTATTCATCTAAGAAAATAGCAATGACAATTATTGTATATTCATCCTCTATAATCATGTATGTAATTGAAATGATAAACTGTTCTATTACTACATGCATATCTAGAAAAAAAATATAGATATACAATATTAGATACAATGAACTGTTTGAGTGCTACAGACAGTCCAAGAATATGCAGAGTGCCAAGTTCAGCAATATATTTACTTTCTAATTCTCGGAAGCAGTAATTAAATAATATAACTGTCTGAGAAAAATTATTTTCAAATACTAAAATTTAATCTTGAATTGAGGCATGAAAAGAATGTGTGATATTAAAAATGTGCTCTTTGGTACTCAAATGGTTAAGATATTCATTACCATCATCCAGTTGGAAAACTGTCCATCACAGATCATGTTACATTTGTAGTACATGCTTTAAATTATGTATAAATGAAATATATTAAATAGGTCATCTAAATATTTTGAATGCGGTGTCCCACATAATGCAACAATGACCGATAGTTCATACTTCAGTTATTTATACAAATATAAAATAGACGATCATCGCTATCACAAATAATGTGACGTTGGACTCTCGCGAGAATTGGTGCGTCATAGATACGATGCATGGTAGTGAATGTGTTAAATGTAATGTACAGTACCAGTGTATAAAAATAAAAGATAATAATAAAATACTGTGTGCTAATTCTTCATTATGGTATTTTATTATACATTCAATTTATTACAAAAGAATTGAAATTTAATATGCTACTTTTTTAATTCTAGATATTCTATTTTCAGAAAAATACTTTTGAAGTTTTGTTGACTAATTTAAATAAATTGAAACTCTGTAATTGTTTTGAATGTTGTTCATCTTTATTTTTTAATTGGATATCAGTTTTTTATTGACAAATTCTTTATTAAAATTAATTTTTTTAAATAAATTTTTTTTAGTAATTTAATTTTAAGTATGCGTTTAATTTATATTTATTATATTGACATGAGAACAAAAGGAAACGTTTACCAAATTATATACTTTATTGTATGAAAGATGTCAAAAAAACATTATACAGTATATTAATTAACTCTACATGTAGAACTTTATATAACTAAAAAAGAAATATACTTTTTTGTAATATTTTAATAAGAATAAATGTAAAATTTGATGTTATTTCTTTAACTTTGGTTGCAAACAATTTACAAACTCTTCTTAAGGATTTCATCAAACAAGAATACAGATACAGATGGATCGCGTTCAGTTAATAAATTCTTCAAATCATTTGTATAGCCTGCTAAATCTCGTACATGCCCTGTCTGTGATTCAAAGAATTGTTCCTCAATATAATGAGCAACACTTGCATCATGCTTATTGTGAGGATGTGCCTGGGCATGAATACGCATTGCTTCCTCTGCAAGTTGTTTTTCAGTATCAAGTGCCCTAGCTAAGCTGTTAATTTCATTCAATTCTAATACTCTGCTTTCCTTCGCCTGAGAAAAAATATAATAAAATAGTTCAAATTATCATTAGTGAATTGAAATAATTTGAATTTATTTGCTTGCCACTAGTTAGTCTAGTTACTAATTTGGGCTGTTAATATTAAATTTTTATGTTAGAAAATTATATAATTACGAAAAACAGAAATCTACTTACAGATTTTGTGAAACGTGGTAACTGATTGAAGTTCATTCTACCACCACGTTTAGCAATATATTTCATTAAATCAATTGCGTCTTCCCATGTTTTGTCTGAATGTTTACGATATAACTTTTTAAATCCTTCGCGTTGAGCCTCAAAATTTCCAAAATAACTTGACATTAATAAAAATTCAAAACTAGACTCTATATTAGCATTTACATATGATTGAAGATCAGCTTGAAGCGCATCAATAGCTCCATATTTTGCATTACAATTTTGAACCAATGCCCCGTCTAAAAGTACAAATATTAATCAATTTATAAACTATGACCGGATTAATAATTTTTTAAATATTCCATATTTTTGTACCATTTGATGTGGGCTTTGTACTACATGCTCCTTCCACATCGCTATAACAGAATTCAGCAGAGGCAACTGCCAAAAGAATAGACAATACTCCAAAGAACAACATATTTTCTGAAATTTTAAGTAACAAAAAGGATAAAACATACATAACATTTGTATGGGTAAATTATTAAAATAATACATACAAAAAATTAACAATATAAAATTACACTCTGGAATTATTAACATATAATTAAATTCAACTCATTGGAAGTATAAATATATTTAAATCTGTATAGAACATTGTTTTATAAGGAATATTATAATATAAAAATTTAATAATAAATCAATTTTGATACACTTCGTAAAGCAAGTATAACTGAAAGTATAAAAAAATATACATTAATATTACATAGATATGAATGCAATAGTTATACTTTTAATTAAAAAAGGTCGATAGAAGGGTGATACACCAACGCTAAATGAAAAGGAAAATTGGTATAGAGAATAACGCATAATAGCTTAATTACTAATCGAATTAACGCTAATACAGCATAACCTAAGATCCAAAATAAATCATTGATTTAAGTATAATCTGTAGATGTGACGTCTATTTACGTCGGAAAAAAATTTATGCTTCTATAGATAATAGACACTGTACAGTGATAACGTCGTTGATGTATTGAAATGCGCAGTACCCTTATTTATAGAGTGAAAAACAAAAAAAAATAGTACACATGTACTGGGATTATATTCTATTTACATATTGAATTCATATAACTGCGTCGTAATGAACAGCAAAATTAAATTCTTCGTGTTACATACCTGTTCAAACGACGTACTCGTTTAAAGGGAAACAACGTGAATACTCTCGTTTCGACGTTCTTCCAACAATGAACACTGAGTCGTCACGAACTGTTCGTGGAGTTCTACTGAGATTCACACAGTCATAGTCAGGTGATAGTAGAGCGCATGCGTAGTGGGAAGGGAATATAAAATTCCAGTTACTCCCCGTCGACTAAAGTACGAATGGTGCGCATTTGTTGGCCAATTGTTAAATGATCGATGGCTGTACATCGTGTTTAGTTCACGTACGTTCTCTTATCTAGCTTCAGTAACAGCAGCCTTCTATACCAGTGCGTATAAAGGTTGCTCCCAAAATACGCAATAATAAGTATTCTTGCGATTTTTTCAACTATAACCTCCGAAGCAATCAACAATGAAGCTGCTTTACTTCTTTCTCGTTGCTTTCCTTTACGTCAGCGGAGCTCTAGGAGATGGACTTAAATGTAAGCTTATTTTAAACTTTACACATATTTTTTTGTTTCTATGATACTTTTGTCTGTAAATATCGATTAAGGTTAATGTACCTCCCGATAGATTCCATTATCCTGTATCCTTTCCATTTCTGAGAAGAACGGTATATCCTTGAAAAGCCCATTTTGTGTTTCTTGAAAACTTACCAAACATGCAAGTATGAATCATTTACTAATGTTAAACTCCTTAAATTAGAATTTAACACTACTACAAAATGGCATTACAATTTAATTTGATCATTGTACAACGCGTGAACTTAACCATAAATTATTATTTGTAAACGTGTTATTTTTTTATACTAGTGATTTTATTTATTGAAGACATGTTAACACTATTTCTATCAAAGGTGTTACCTTTCAACATTTTAACTTTAAATTATTTTATAAATTTAATCATTTTACCTCAATAATGTGATATTAAAAATAACAATTATTTCTATAGTTACTTGCATTCAAATACAAAGGTGTCTTCTGACACCTTTTGATTTAAATAAGCTTACATAAATCCATACTAGAAAGTGTTAAATAATCTTTTTGCATTTTTATCTGATAAAATATCAATTATTATATAAATTTCAAATAGTATCATTACAACTAAAAAGCATAATTCGAACAACAAATGATAGTAACTTATTATCATTAATATTGTTAAAGTTTTTTTCACATTCCATTACTAAAACATTATATCACAGTTTGTTTCATATATCCATCCACGTGCACAAAAAATATTGAATAACTATTTTTATTTGTATTTTGAAACCTCAAACCTTTATTATTATACAAAGTTCTACGTAAATATAAATATAATCTTTAACAGCTTATTGCTTGTTGATTCCAGTGAAAAACAAAGACATTATTCTTTTGTTTCTTAAGTCCATAATATTATTTGCATAATTTATCAATAGTGATGTATCCTTTGTGCCAGAAACTGTATACTTATTAGTCACCATGTGATTATCTTCTTTTCCTTATATTGTTATTCACATTTATACACGTTATCAGATATTGGTCACTCTGCAAGCTGTGCAAATGAATAGACATATGATGCAATCTGTACAATGATGTTATTATTAGTCCTTTTGTGAATTTTACATAGTTATATGACTAGCTGATTTGTTCTATAAAGATTAAAATGATTCTTGGTGATGCATATTTGTATTATCAATACTTGCGTCTATAAAAGTTTCATGTATCATATGACACCATCAATATTTTTAATAATCTTTTGACCTTATAAAACATTATAACTTCATTAAGTATACAATATAAATGAAGATAATTTTCAGTATAACATCATTAGTGAAAAGTTATTATTAAAGTTATTAATGAATATAAATTTAGAATAAAATAATCATATTCAATTACTTTTTTCTTATTAATTAATGTATTAATAAATTTATTTTACATTGTAAACAATTTTCTAATAAAAACTTTAGTATGAAATTCAGCTAAATTAAACTTCATCAATATGTGCAGTTATTTAAACTTGATAATTATGTTTTATAGGAAATATATTAGTGCTAGAAATTGTACATTTTTTATGCATATTTTTATAATTTGTGATTAATATTTACTCTATGAATACTTTCTCATCAAAATGATTTGATTCAATATTTCTAAATTACAGAATGAACTAGTTATTTTGTATGAGATAACAAAATTCTGGAACGTATTAATTATTGGTCATTATTGGCAATCTTGTATTCAAAGTAATATCATTTGATAAGGTTTATATGACAATATGCATATATTGATTACAACATGTTCTAAAGTCCATATTGAACATATATGCGTTCTTCACTATTCTGGGAAGCCAGATAACTCAATTGAAATCACTGTGTATCAGTAATTTGTGCTCATATTGTTTCACTATGGATTTCTATTGAAAATTCAATAATGATTAATCTTATTATTATTACCAATATTACAAATAATTACCAATTTTTTAATATTATAAATAATTTTTGCATTTGCTTTTTAAATTAATTATAATGTATTTATTAGTATTTAAACTAATAATATTGAATTGTACAAAAATTATAAATCCATGCATTGAGTACAAATGTGTATCATATTGTAGGAGAACTGGAGATAACAAAGGAAATGAAGTGCTAAAAAAATAATGATAATTGAAGTAATCTAGTCGTACATGTTTTTGTAATTAAAGGAGATATAAGAATATAATCTTATCTCCAGCAAATATTTTCATTGCGACTGATAAACTGATTAACTCAACAATAGATTATTTTATTATACTTTAAAATTGTGATAAGATCTTTAACAAATTAAATTAACATACAAATCCATACTATTTTATAAATGTATGTTGACACATTTAAGATATGTAATTTATCCTAATATGTAAATAAATATTTCAAGCAGTGTACATTTTGTAGAAAAAAATCCTTGTTATATTTTTAAGTGTTTACATTTATTTGTTTAGATTGTGCAATTAAAATAACGAACTATATTTTATTCAACTTCTTACTATCAATAAATACTATTACCTATTTGTATTTGTAGGTACACTTAAGCCTGCAGATGTACCAAAGTTATGGTTAGATATGGTCGAACCATGCTCAAAAATTTTAGAGTCTCAGGTTAAAATTGAAGTTGAAGCTGCTATGACATATCTTGCAATGGTAATTATGTATTTATTGTTTTCATTACTTCATACTATTTTTCATAAAAAAAGTTATACTTATACATACTACACCTTATAATAGGGTGCCCATTTTGCACGTGACACAGTCAATCGTCCTGGTTTTAGTAAATTCTTCTTTGATTCTGCTACTGAAGAAAGAGAACATGCAATAAAAATCATTGAATATCTGTTGATGCGTGGTCAGCTTACAAATGATGTTAGCAAACTTTTAAAGTTTCCCCTGGTATGTATATAAAATAATTTTGAAATTATTATGTAATTCTGTTTCTATTTATAAAATGCATGATTGTAATTTAGTAAATTAAGAATATATACACACGTATACATCGCTTTTAGAAACCAAAACGTGAAGATTGGAAAAATGGTGTTGAAGCTCTTTCAGATGCTCTTAATTTGGAAGCTCAAGTAACACGTAGTATTCGTGACATCATTATAACATGCGAAAGTCCAAAATCTGTCAACTTCAATGATTATCATGTAATTAAACTATTTGTACATACGTATATGTATATTGGCATTAATGTTTCAAATTTATTAAATTGTAATTAACGAATTATTTAACTCCAGCTGGTAGACTACCTCACTGGAGAATTCTTAGAGGAACAATACAAAGGACAGAGTGATCTTGCTGGAAAAATTTCAACATTGGGTAAAATGATGACAACACATGGATCGTTAGGAGAATACCTATTTGATAAGAAACTTTTAAACAATGAATTGTAATTTGTATTTGATGAACAAAATCTTATCCCAATAAATGTATATGAAATTATGGCCATATTTAGAATAAAATGTCTAACTTTTTGTTTGATTTAATTATACTTTCATATAAACATAAATTTTATTTCATATAGAATATTTTTCTAAATATGGTCTGTAATATAGAGTATATAAACAAACAGGGAACCCTATTTACAAATGTTTGTTAATCTGTAATAAATATGTTACTCATACTAAATGAAATAAATATTTTAAGATTTATATAAAAAGTGTAAATGGATTGTTCACCAGTTGGAGTACTGTATTTATAGTATAATTTCGTTAGAAATTTTTGGTGAATAGACATACCCCCAAAATCCTACGTACTTTCGAGAAAAAAATTCGAGAAATGTTTCTGTAACTTTTTAACGAAGCCTCAATCAACAAATTAGTATCCATGATTTTCGTCTTATTTGGCCTCTAGAATAATGAAAATAATTTCTTTTTTTTCAATAGTGAAAACATGATCAGAGGGTCTTGAAACGTGTATTTCCGTGTACATTTTTTTTCATTATGGAGTTTGTTTATATGTATAGTATATGTGCCTATATAGGTCGGAATGTAAAAATGCCTGGGCAGTCGAGATTCGAAATTGTGCCATTGACGCAATGACGGACTTCAGCTGTTCAAAATCAAGAAGAAATGGCTCGCATTGGCCATCTTTCTCCATTTCCCGAAATTGCGCGAATTGCCGAGCTCACGTAACATGGTTCCTGCAGTAGGATATGTTGGCTTTCCTCACGATTCCGTTTTCCGTTAGATGCTAAGGAAATTCGTCGTTAGTAATGTCGCCGTGGATGCCTTGAATTATGCCAAATTGACCACACTGCATTGGATTGAACACACTAACTTCCACCAATTACAAGACAGCAAGCAAATTCGTTATTTTGAAACAGACGAGGTAAGTCATTTCTGGCAAGAATTGTAATTTCTGCTTTTGACGTAAATATTTATTATTTTTACGTGTATATGGGTATAATTTATTGTAATACGACGAATGTAGATATCACCTTTTCATCTAACAAGAAGTGTATTTATTCCCATAAAGAGTTTCTTGGTTATTCCACACCAAATCGACCGCTTGATTGCTAAAGATTACAACGTGCAACATTCCAGGTAAGAAAGTTAATTTGTTCATAATATTTGTTATAAAAAAATATATCTTAAACAAATATATATTTAAAAGTCAAATTTTTTGCGGTTAAAACAAGAAAAAGACGAACTCGGTACAATTAATAATTTCGGAAATAAAGTCATTTGTTTGATAAAAGTGGACAAAAATGACAAGACTTAAATGCATATATTTTTTAAATAAATTCGAAATGTTTATTATATAAAATCCTTTGCCATAAAATACAAAAATATTTTTTATAGTAAGGTACATACACACAAAATTCGTATACTAACAAAAATTTTATAAACTCATAAGTAAAAATCATACAGAATTAGGTACTAAATTGTTTAAATTCTGAATCAATTAGTAATCTGCAAATGCATTTTTGCATGCTATTTTTATTATTCTTAATTATAGGTAATACCTTGAGATAGCAGCAATGCTAAAGAACAAAACAGCAAATCCTCAACCACAGGTAATTTCACAAGTGTGTAACAATTTGAAACAATTAAGTATATCTAAAGTGTCACCTGTATTGAGTGAAAACACATTAAATAATACCGGAAATATAGAAAGTGCCACAAGTCACTGTAATATTTATTTGAAAAAGAATATACAAGACGAAAACAGTAAAAAGAAGTCTACAGAATTGATGCCACCACCAAAATTACCTTTAGTTTCTAAACCAATAGTGCAAAGTAAAACTAATGATGATAATGATAAAGAAAATAGAGATGATAAAAACCTAAATGTTGAAAACAGCAAAGAACAGAATAATGTGAAAAATAAAAACCAGAGTGAAAAGAAATGGGTTTTATCAGATTTTGATATTGGACGTCCATTAGGAAAAGGAAAGTTTGGTAATGTTTATTTAGCTAGAGAGAAAAAATCAAAATTCATTATTGCTATGAAAGTGTTATTTAAAAAGCAAATAGATAAAGCTGATGTAGAACATCAAGTTAGAAGAGAAATAGAAATTCAGACACATTTAAGGTAACATTTCAATAATTTTATAATATACTTCCAATATTAAATGTTTTTGTTATGAAAATATTAGTAATGTGAAATTTACTGAACCATGTACAGCATTTCATATTTGCATTTGATCAATTTTTCTCATGTAGAAACAACAGAGTCATTGCTCCTATTTAAATTATGCTTGCACAGTAGGAGTGACTTTCAATTAGTCTAGTCTGTGACAGTACCAAGAGCAAACTTATTGCTCAAGGGGTTGAATTTTATCCACTATTGAAAATAAAAATTTCTATATTATTATATTTTATTCCAAGATAAAATGCAAATGCATGTATGCAAATGGCAAACTCCTGTCTGGAACACCATGTTTAATAACGTTTATTTCAATAACTTAATTGCAAAATTCTAATACTGTTATTATTTACCAAACAACAATAATAGTACATTTGATTTTAATTATAACATAAATTAAATTAAAACATTACAGGCATCCAAATATTTTAAAAATGTATGGCTATTTCCACGATGACAAAAGAGTCTACTTAATTCTGGAATATGCTCCAAATGGAGAATTATTTCAAGAGTTGAATGCCCAACCAGAAAAACGTTTTGACGAAGTTAGAACAGCAACTTATATATCTCAATTAGCAGATGCCTTAAAATATTGTCATAGTAAAAATGTCATACACCGTGATATCAAACCTGAAAATTTATTACTTGGAATAAAGGGTGAATTGAAAATGGCAGATTTTGGATGGTCCGTTCATGCTCCTTCTTCTAGGAGAAATACGTTATGTGGCACTTTAGATTATTTGCCACCTGAAATGGTTCTTGGAAAAACGCATGATCATACTGTGGATTTATGGGGGCTTGGTGTTCTTTGTTATGAATGTTTAGTTGGTACCCCACCATTCTTAGCTAAAACTTATGAAGAGACATATGTAAAAATCAAGAAGGCCCAGTATAAGTTGCCAGACTATGTTAGTGAAGGTGCTAGAAATTTAATATCTAGGGTAAGCCGTTTTTTTTTTTTTTTTTTAACTTTCTTGACTTTCTTGACTTTCACTTGTTGATTTTCAATTTCTTTCTTTTCAGTTATTAGTTGTTGATCCAGATCGAAGGCTACCATTAGAGGATGTATTAAAACATCCATGGATTGTAAAAAATCGAACTACAGAACCACATGTTCAATGATGAATTAGTACGTTTTAATAATTACTATACTGTGTTTTACATAAAAGGAACATTATGGTATGACTACAATTGCATTTATTATAAAAAAAAAAATGAAACAAAAAGCAATTATAAATATTCTTTATATCTTAATATTTGTATTGTATGTGTGGAATAAGTATCTACTATATATACATTCTTTAGGCTATACATTACATTAATAATTTTGACTATATTTAATGGATATTTAACGTCATTTTCTAAATTAAAATTCATGTAATCAGTCTTTATAGTATATTAAATTTGACAAATTTTTATACAAAACTGAATTTTTGTAATTCATTTATAATAAATTGAAATGTGAATGGTAAGAGAACTTGATTACATACTACAAATAAAGCATAATCGTTTGAAATGAACAAATGTAATGCATAAAAAGAAACGTTTAATACACTAATTTTGAATAATATCAATATTCGAATAATCATTTCTGCATTTAAAACATTTTCCAGTATTGAAACTTAGATTTAAAATTATTTAAACATTCGTAAATCTTCAATCTTAACATTAATCGTTTCTTAATCGTCAATATCGCATTGATAATATTATTGACCGTATACGCGTTGTTGTAATATTGCATTTATATTTTAATACGAGACGATTAAGCGTAGATTAAAAAAGTACAAAATACATAAAAAAAAAGCATATTTGGTAAAAAAAAATGTCTATTTTGTTTTAAATGCCGTAATTTCTACAATGTTTTTAATTAATAATATTCTGTCTATCATAGGATACAGAATATATTCAACAATAATAATATTACTCAAATTTGGATTTTAAAACACTGTTGGTGTCGGAAACGAAACCGTCAAAGTACCGTATATGTTGTTGATGAAATTAATGTTATTTTGCTTACTCACATCTAATTTACGTATAAAAGATTTCATTTTAGAGCTTATTATATATTTTATTCATACTAAAGTATTAATTTCGATGAAGTATACAGGGTGTTCGGCTACCTATAGCAAAAATTTTAATGAGCGATAGTAGAGGCCAAAATAAGACGAAAATCAAGAATACCAATTTGTTGATGGAAGCTTCGTTAAAAAGTTATTAACGTTTAAAGTGCCGCCCTTACTGAATTTTTTTCTCGAAAATGCGCAAGATTTCGGGGGTATGTCTATTCACCAAAAATGACTGTAATTGAACCCTACAACCGAAAATAATTTTTCCACAACGATTTGCAATTTTTTAATTTTCTCGAATAATTTCACACCTTCTCTATTTTTTTTCTCGAAAGTGGGCAGGATTTCGTGGGTATGTCTAATGACGAAAACTGATTGTAATTGACCCCCGCAACCGAAAATAATTTTTCCACAACCGATTTGCAATTTTTTTTCTCCGTTGAAAAATTTAGGCACCTAATTGGATTTTCAGTAAGGAATTTTTTTCTCGAAAGTGCGTACGATTTCGGAGGTATGTGTAATGATAAAAAACGATTGTAATTGATCCCCGCAACCGAAAATAATTTTTTTAGAACGGTTTGAAAAATTTTTTTTCGCCGAAAAATTTCAGCACCTACTCGATTTTTTTTCTCGAAAGTAGATAGGATTTCGGAGGTATGTGTAATCACCAAAAATGATTCTAGTTGACCCCCGCAATCGAAAATAATTTTTCCAGAACGATTTGAAATTTTTGAATTTAATTGTTAATAACTTTTTAACGAAGCTTCCATCAACAAATTAGTATTCTTGATTTTCGTCTTATTTTGACCTCTACTTTCGCTCATTAAAATTTTTGCTAGAGGTGGCCGAACACCCTGTATAGTATTGTTAAAAAAAAAAAGATAGTAAATATACTCTTTGTTTTGTCGCCGTCAAAGTGGCAGAATCTCTTAAATTACTCAAATATATATCAAACGTAAATTTTATTTAACGTTATAAAAATTCTTTTTAACTGGATATAAATGTATATAGATATGAAAAAATACTAAAACAACTTGTTTAGCACAATTCTCAGTATTTAAAAAATAAAGAAGTATACATTAGTTTTAGCTTTTAGTTTCAAACAATAAACCAAGACCTAATATTATACTCTGGAACAATGATTCATGCTGTAAGAAAGAAGTCTATCTGTTTTATTACCAACCAAAATTCCACCTCTTTCGAGTAGGAGTCATGGTTGGTGCCAGAACCAATAATTTTTTTCTCTAACAGTACAAATCACCAATTTCGGGTGTACAACTACATTTTCGTTCATCAAACATGAACACGATATCACAACTACAAAAATAAAGTCAAGGCAAATAGTGTATATTTCTTACTTCAGATTCATCATTATCAGTTTAGAATATTTTGTAATGGAAGATTTTTATATAGATACTTAGTACTTTTATTTCACGTTTCCATAGGTTCCATAACTACATCTACTATAACTGCATCTGTCGGTGTTTCCATAGGTGTGTCATCAGATTTTTTTTTAATCGAATATAATTTCTTCAGTTTTTCGTAATGTTTTATATCCTACAAGTTGCAATGTATTGTTAGGTAAGGTATCTCCATTCACAGATAAAAAAAGGACATTCAGTTTTATTAACGATAAATGAAAATGCTTACTTTCTCTTGTACGGACGGCCTTATTTTATCAAATGCAGATACAATATGCCGCATAGAGATCTCTGGTTGACCTGTATAATGTATATCCAATAATTCTCTTAATGCTTCTATACCAGCTTCTCTAATTAAAGCTGCTAAATCTGCTCCGGTGTAACCATCGCACTTATTGTTATACCCTATTTGCTCAAGGTTTACATCTGCAGCTAATTTTGGTTTAGTTGCATTCTATGAATATCAATTTTTTTATGAAAAAACCAAACTCTTTAAAAATACTTATGCGATTAATAATTAAATTACAGGGTACCTTTGTCAGTGCTCTCAAAATATCGACACGATCTGTTGCAGTAGGCAGATCCACATATAAAAGTTTATCTAATCTTCCTGGTCTCAGTACTGCTGGATCGATAATATCAGGTCTATTGCTCGCAGCCATTAAAAATACTCCTTGACGTCCTTCTACCCCATCCATTTCCGTAAGCATTTGATTAACAACACGCGAAGTAGCAGAGTTATCACCCTCTGATCGCCTTGGACATAAGGCATCCAATTCGTCAAAGAATATAACACAAGGTGCAGAATTTCGGGCTCGGAGAAAACATTGTCGAACTGCTTTTTCACTTTCACCAACATACTAAAATAAAAAAAATAAAATATCCAATAATTATATTGTACTCAATTTAAACTAATAATAAGTTATAACACATCATAATGTTATGTATGTTCAATTTAATAAATAGAATTACCATATTCAAAAGTTCTGGTCCTTTAACAGAAATAAAATTAATACCAGCTTCATTCGCAATAGCTTTGGCTAATAATGTTTTACCGCATCCAGGCGGGCCACATAATAACACTCCAGTAGATGCTGTTAATCCTAAGGCTGTAAAATGTTCGAAATGTCGAACAGGAGCCTAGAATGTTAGATAATACAAAACAAAATAAAACGTAAAAAAAAAAAGTATTCTTTTCATTTACATGTTTAAATATTATAAAATGATTCAAAACCATTTAACAAATGCTAATATACTTACTAATATAGCCATTTGTAATTCCTCCCTAATATCTCGTAAAGAGCCAACATCGTCCCATGTTACATCAGGTACAGTTGCAAAACCTTCTCTTTTGGCTGATGGCTGAATAACGCGAAGAGCTGTTTCAAAATCACTGTGTTCGATACATAAATTTGTTAGTCGTTCTGCCGGAATTGGTGGATCATTACGTAACCAGGTAAGCAATCCTGTTAAATCTGGAGACTTTGAATTTTCTTGTACATCCATCTCTTGTAAACTTGCCGCTTGTGGACTTTCCAGATTGCTCATCTTATTTAACTTAGAAACATCACATTGATCCGAGGTAGGTAACTCAATAGTTACTTCTTCAACTAAATTTCCAGAGTTTTCAAAGTTTTGTGATTCTTTTTCAGTGTCATTATTAATTTCTATTGCTTGCGACGATTTAGTATTCGGTTCTGATTTGTTTAAGTCTTCGAGTATCCTAGTAACAACGAAACAATGAAATTCACCATACTGAATAAATTATTCTTTAAGTATACTTAAAATATTGAAATGAAATTACCTATCCACTGCTGCCATAGCCGCTTCTCTAATTAATGCAACTAAATCGGCACCAACGAAACCTGGTGTAAGTGAAGATATTGTAGATAGACTGACATTAGGAGCAAGTGCTACTTTTTCTGTGTGCACAGTTAGAATGTTTGTTCTTGCATCTCTATCTGGTATTCCAAGACACACTTCATGATCGAAACGACCAGCTCTTCTCAATGCTGGATCTAATGAATCAGGTCGATTTGTCGCTCCCAGTACTAATACTCCAATACCATTTTCCTTCAAACTTAATTCTGTTAAATAAAACGTTATTTTTTTTTCAAAATTAAATTAAAAATTAGTATATTTTGTATAATGTAATAAGAATAATAATTTACCATCCAAACACGATAATAATTGCGCAACAATTCTCCTCTCCATTTCTCTCTGAGCAGTAGCTCTATGTGGTGCTACAGCATCAATTTCATCCAAGAAAATTACACAAGGTGAAAGCGCAAGTGCTTGCTCGAATAATTCTCTAATTCGTGCTTCGCTTTCGCCTGACACTCCAGCCACTAGTTCAGGTGCTGCTACTTTCAACAAAGGTATTCCCAATTCCTAGTTTCAAGGTAAAAAATTAGTAATTATATAAAAAGTAAAACATACTTATTCATAATAAAATCTTACTCCTGCAATAGCATGTCCTAGTAATGTCTTTCCACATCCAGGTGGACCATGCAGTAAAAATCCTCTTGGTGGTGATATACCCAGCTGTTTAAAGATTTCTGGGTGCTTCATATGTGCAAGTAATTTACATACTGTTTTTAAAACTTTATCGCATCCGCCTATGTTTGAAAATGTAACTTTTGGATCAGAGACAGGTACTCCTTTAACTTTTTTAACGAATACAAATTGACTGTTATCAGTATCTTTATCACGTTGTCGTTTTCTGGTGAATTGCTCTGTTATTGTTGTAACTGGTCGAGTTTCTTTTACAGGCTGCAAACATGAAATTAAATGATGTAAGTACTGTGTTTATACATTACATACTGTAGTTTTGTACTTTTCCTGTTTTATTGTATTTTTGATATTTGTTATTATTTAATACTATCTGGCCTAATATAATGTTCTGCTAAAACGATAAAAAATATATATACAACCATCTACAAAGGGTTAACATAGCTTTAGTTTTAAATAATAGTGAATTTCAAAAACCCAGGAAAAATAAAAAAAAGATTAAAATTTACTATTTTTGGTTCTTCACTTTCTTTAGCAGCTTCTGGCTTTTCTGTACGTGAAGATGGACCTGGTAAGTCTTGTAAATCTTTTTCTGTAACCTCTGGTTCATTTGCTTTATTACAAGAATTTGATTCCACCTTACTTACATCATCGTCACTACTAATGTCTATCAATTCTTTATCACTAGAATTTCCATTTTGTTTGTTTTGTGACTTTTTATACATTTTTAACAACATACCACTTAACATGGTATTTCGAGGATCTGACTAAAAACAATAAATTTCTTTTAAAAGTTGCTGTTATAAATAATATTCAAATAGTATGTATGTAAATACTTCAACATCAACTTCCTCTTCATCATCCTCATCATCACAAGCAGACCAATCTCGGGAACAATACTTGTTTGCAAACATCTCTGTAAGTTCATCGTATGCTGTGCGTACTAAAGCTCTAAAGGGACCCCGTTTTTTAATACGATAATCTCGATATTTTTTTTGTAGAGCATCTGCCATGTCATTGACATCAATGTAGACTTTACTTTCATTTTCATGCATGTACTATAAGATACAAAAAACCAATTATTCATAAGTTCATATAGTATTTACACATTAAATACTCATAGGCGTTTAAAGCATACAATCAACTGATTGATTGAGTGCCGCCTGTAAGTATTGATAGCAATCAAAGAATTAAAATACAAAACATTTAATGTAAATTAATACAATTAAACTTTATACCAAAATTAGATAAAATATGTCTTCAAATAGTAAATATTAATGAACTATTATTTTATTTACATTTACTTTGACATCCCATATGTAAAATAGTATTTTAAACGCTTCTACTAAGTTTTATTTTGTATTTTATCCTCATAAATATACGCATTTCATGTACGTTACGTGTGTTACGACACAAACATTTAATAATCGTTTTAAATAGCATCTACGGTTGTTTTCGCTGCTTGTAAGTATCAAACGTACATTTACCGCGCAAAATGCGCATCACAGATGCGTCGGTCTTATAAGTATAGTTGATTGAAGAAAATCTAAATGTTAGAAAATTGGTGAATTACCGTTTGCACGCGCGAAATTAATAACTGATCGCGAAGAAATCTATGTGATGTATCGAGTTTGTGTTTATTATTCATAGTCTTCGATTTGTAATCTCCACTGGATCCTTGTAACGGAATAATATCAATCGATGAATTTAATTTCCCAACCTTCTGCATTTTTCTTATGTCAGAAGTCATGAACACCACTTTAATACAAATCAAATAACCATCAGATCTTTAATCTTATCACTTTACACTTTCTAACACGTGTTATCATATAAGTATTAATATTCATTCACAATTTCATTTCTCAAACTATGGTACAAGAAAGAGTGTAACACATCATACATATCAGGAATGATTTCCTCGCGAGCAATGTTGAAAGGCTAGAAGTAAAGAAAACAATGTAGAGTGGAACGTGTGCACAAATTATCTGTTGAATTTGTCGTATATCATAGAAAACTATTATGTGTAATGTAATTACTTACATTCTACATTCTATTACATTATAAGATACAAATTACAACTAAAATTTGTATTAACATTTAAGTATTTATATTATTTTATATCAAATATTACTATATTATACAAGGTGTCTCATACGATGCATTTCAAATTGTTTTTTGAGAAACTAGTAAGGATAGCGAAAAAATTCTTTCTTTATATTTTAAGGTTTAATGGAGTTTTGTAAACAAAATGACTTTTATTCGAAGCGTATTTACATTTGTTAAACATATGTAATTTGTTTCACAGAAGATAAAGGAATCTCAATAGGATCACGTGACTACAGGACTGTATTTGTAAGTGACTCTTCCTTGAAGAAATGCAGAGGCAATGGAATGTATGCAAGTTACTATTACTAATCTATATAAATAGTAATATTGTTGGTTCTGTGTGAAGGCTTCAACTTTTGCAACAATCGTCTTTATAATTGTTGTTCTACGATACATTTCTGAACATAACAATGTGCCAATATAGCAACCCAATGAAATTAAAGCTACACTTCCAACTTCATCGTTCATGGAACTGACGATCAGTATACGTGCACACTGATGCACATTAGATTCATCACCATAGTCGACAACGAACCATCATGGCGATGGGTTTTGTTTGTGTCTTTGATTTGCAATTGAAAAATTTGTCGTGATGGTTTGAACCACATTTTTGATATAATCATTTCTCACATCAACGAGGGGCCTCTTCTTACTTTTTTTCTTTATTTTTGTATAAATTATAAATTTAACTATGGTGAAGTTGACTGAGGAGATGGTCGTGGCTCGGACACGCGTGTCCGATTTCTCTGCCGTAAAGAAACTTAATTGTTGGTGAGTATTTAAATAAATATTAAACTTTTCGAACGAGTTGTTATCTGTTTTATAGCGATTACTCGATTCTCATGCGTCAAAATATTAAAATGACAAGTTCAATAATTCTAAATATTCCTTGCAATAGATGCAACTATACAATTTACAGTTCGTTACGATATTCTTTTTAGGAAAACATTTTTACTGTTATATATATAATTTTATATTAATATGTTACTGTAGGGGTAATGAATTAACCGATGTAACCATTTTACGGAAAATGAAAAATGTGGAAGTATTATCCTTAAGGTAAGTGATTAAAGCAAACATTTATTTTTATTGTATAAAAATTTTGTTTTTGTACGTTCTTAGATAGTTTCGTGCTTATAAATGTTACTAAATGTTGTTATAATTTTTATGGTAAAGTAAGAACTATATTACTCATAGCAATGATTCAAAACATTTGAGTCAGTTAATATATTACAGAAACTGTGATGCACTCCTATTATGGATAGGTTTATGTAAAACTTAAGATTAGAAGCACAACCCACAATTTGAGAAGGTTGTTCTACCCACACGTTTTGAATTCATTGTAATATGTTTCATTATCATAAGAGAAAAAGAAAACTAATCTTATGCAAATGAATGCAAACAGTGTTCCAATATAAGAAGATAAAATATTGTATATTTTTATTTGTAAACTATGGCGTGGAAAAAATTGTAATAAATATAAATTATCCTAGAAATATGTAATCAAATAAAATAGTATAGTACATTTTCTTTTATTTCTTCTGTAAGTACTTTACAAAATGAAGAACCACATTTAGATTATGTATATTTATTTTCAGTGTTAACAATATCAATACTCTTGCTGATTTCCAATATTGTCTAAATCTTCAAGATTTGTTTATAAGGAAGAATGATATTAAAGATTTAAATGAAGTTTGTTATCTTCAAGGCTTACCTAATCTACGAAATTTATGGCTTGGTGAAAATCCTTGTGCCGAGAAAGATGGGTAATATACACTGTGTTAATAAGTAACTTGTTAAATTTGTTGATAAACCGATTCATAAACTTATTACATTATTTAAAGACAATGTAGAAAATATTATTAAAAGGTTTTACGACATTTTTTTCATAATATAATTCTTTTAAAAATCATAAAAATTTAAATTATATCATTTGAGGTTGAAAGTTATGTTATGCTTGGATGATTAATAGTTAATTATTAAAAGGGAATTTTCATTAATTAGTTCTTTTGCAGGTATCGATTAGCAGTTCTAAGGACTTTACCAAGTCTGCAAAAACTTGATGATAAAGTAGTGTCACCTGAGGAGGTGCAAACTGCATTAACAAGAGGTCCTATTTTGGTTCATCCTCTTGATATGGATGCATCTCCACCACAATCGGACACAATCAGTCCAGAAGTAAGGCTACAGTCAGAATAATAATTATCAATATATTCATACAAAAATTCCCCCTTATTTTGTCATGCAAAAGTTTAATTAAAATTTTTTCATAATTTTGTTGATAATACATATCATTTATTTGTTATTAACAGAACCTGATACTAAATTTGTATCTGATTTTATTTAATATCACTAAAATAAGTTTATTTAAAAATACTTTATCATATCAATTTATCTTTAACAAACATCCTAACACTTGAATAACATTTACGCAATTAGGATATTGTCACTGAATATATTGAAGAAACTGAAGTGATACGACATCGAAGATATAGTTCTTCGAGTGATCAGGTAATACGAAGTTTAAGTTATTTTTAGTTTTTCTTATAAAAATGTTTAATTCTATTATACTAATTTCATTCCGAAAATTATGTTTATACACTATATTATTATCATACATAGGTTTATAATAAAATATAATTTTTAGTCATAGATCACTTTTTTATCTGAACATTTGCTTACAGAGAAGTTTTGAAGAGACACAGCATACTCAAGAAGAGTTTCATGATCCAGATCGTAGGAATGCAAACTATAATGCATCACCATCTCATTGTTATTCACAAAATAATCAGTATACATATGAAGTAAGTCAGTTATATTTATATTTATATTTTGCATGAGAATATATCTGTATTAATATGTCTACGTGTGTCATGAAAGTCTAAAAAATCAGAATATCCTCTGTGTATCTGAATTTTTAATGAATTGCTTTCATTATTTATTTAAACTTAGTAATATATTAACTTTTTCACTTAGTAATCGCTGAGCAGAATAAGTAACTAAATTAATACTTAATAAATAAGCTTGATTATATTGTTGCTCCCTTTATCTGCAATCATACACTAACAGCCTCAGAATGGACAGTCAAAAAATCACAGCAAAGATGACACTGTACATACAGAGTCACGCAGCATCAGTGAAAATGTGACCACTAACACTGTTGAAATAATCAAGGTACATTTTATAGTATCGCATAACGTTTGTGCAGTACAATAATTTATTTTTAGTGATACCTTGATAGTCTTTGTGTTCATCAGTTATACCTGTATTAGTATGATTAATCAATTAGTGATATTACTATGATTTAATGTAGTGTTCCTTAGCAAGTAGAAAAGAATAAATAAAAGGTAGTAATATAATGAGACAAACGCGCTCCTCACCCTCAACACATACGGTAGTTCAAGGATAATTAATGACACAAACATATTTTTTCAATAAAAATTAAAATAACTTTATTGTATTATTCAAATTTTTAGGAGTACGATGACCGGCCAGCAGTTTCAAGACATAATGGAGAATATGATGAGAGAAGAGCTTATTCAGATTATAGTAATAATGAAACAACTCAACGTACATATGCAGCAACGTCACCACGTGCGCAGTACTCTTTAAACGAAACCATAGAAGATAGACGTTCAGATAGAAGCAATTATGAATATGATAATAGATTAAAATCAGACTATGAAGAACAACACGAGCAAAGGATAAAGTCAGATTACGAAGAACATCAACCACCACCTCAAACTAGACGACCGGCAGTCCATCATAATGTTGAGAGGGTCAGAATTGAAACTGTTATTAGCTTGAATTTAAGACTATTTTAGATTAAAAAGAAAATTAAATGTAACATAAACAATTCCTCAATATTATAGGAAGATTCAAATCAGGTGCCTGGATGGGTGAGACATTCTGACAAGGAAAAATGTAGATCACAGTTTCACTATCACAGAAGGCCTGTTACAAGGGTATGTATTTTGGTTATTATGTAAACCTGTCAAAGTGTATACAAAATAATACGTTAAGTATTATTGTTTTAATTTTAGAACTCAAATATATTATCAGCCGTGTTATGCTTAGTTAAAGAGCTTGATTATCCAAGTTTAGAAGTAGTAGAAATGGCTGTTAGGAATCGAATGGACGAATTAGAGGAATGATGTTTCTGACACCGTCCCCAAAATTCTCAGGGGACGGTTGCCTTCTCTCACATGGGCAGTCTTTCTTCAATTCCAAGTCCAGAATTTTCGGATTCTCTCGATACTACAATAACTCCTTATCAATGCATTGATAACGATGCAAATTGTAATTTTGCTCATCGCACATATGATCGGCATCTAATTGACGATAATACTGAAAAACGTCAAATTCGCCATAATGGATGCATAGAAACTTGCTCGAAAAATGTATCGATCGATCCAAGTCCAAGGAATTCTGGAAACAATCAATGCACGTATAAACTTAGAGACTCTGTACCGGATAACTTAATGTCAGTAGTCGGTAATTGTGAAGAAAGAAAAGCCAATGATGTTAGAAGAGTAGCAAGCAGTGACAGCATCCCACGAGGTGGTTATAGTGGTTTAACTTTGAGTCCAGGGTGCAGAGTTTTAAGTCAAGATTGTGTGAGAAGATCGAAAAGTCCTGACGTTAGAAACACAATTGTTCCCCTTCGCTACATTCAATCGGCGAAAGGTACTTGGACATATAATTTGTAAGTTAAATTGTAAATTGCGTTAATACTCTCGAAGTGAAAAGATTCTTTTAGACATGTGTTTTGAGGAATTCTCAAATATTATTGAACTAATCATTACATAACTTAAAGGAATCGACGAAGTTTCGTCGAGTTTCTTGAGAGGAAAGATATTTAAAAAAAAATATATATATATATATATATGTACTTATATATAATTAGAAACAATTGTGATATTTCTGCAAGGAGTGAAGAAATTAATTATCCCTATGTATGTATATACCATGCAATACATGAATATTCATAAAATGTCAACATCTATATCTATTTAAGTAAATAATGTAAAAATCAAAACTATTGAATTTTGCATTCTTTAAAATAAGTTTAATATTTATTGCATTGATAATTTAATATGTTGAAAAAATAAATCTGAAATAATGTCACTTATTATATTCATGTTAAAAAATACGAGACGAATAATCTAATATCATTAAATACTTTTATTCTGATTTTTAACAAATATTTGTTTACACGCTTACATTTACTTTAAAAGTACTCAAATGTCTGTAAAGACTTACCATGTACTGTTATTTTTTTATATTATTTTCCATATTACTTAAACTTCTATTATTGAATATATGTACTTAATTCACTATACAAATGATTTCATTGATATTTATTGACTTGTGCAGTAAAATTGTACTTAAAATAATATTGAAAACAGTGCGATGAGAAAACAAGACAAAACGAGAATAAGCCTGTGCAATAGCGCGTACTATAGATTAATATTAGATTGATAAATATGCATGGCATATTTTTTTGGAAAGAAATCTTCGTACGTTAAAAATGGTTAAATATTGAAAGAAACCAAAGAAAATGGACAACTAAATTCTTTCCACAATCTAAACCGTTCCATTTTACTGAGCCAATTTTCAATTTAGATTTAAGATATTTTATAAAGGTATAAAATACAATGTCTTTTGTTATACATAACCGTCCAATTATATTATTTTATAACTGATTAATGTTATTGTTATTTATACTGTTATTAAGGCGACTATTAAAATTAATTATTTAATATTTGTTTTAATATATAGCACATATAAGAAACGTTCTTTATTTTTTTTTAATTTAAAAGAATGTTTCTAAAGATGTTACACAATAAAAGCAAAGATGATCAAACGCGCCTTTCTTTCTGAATGTAATAGTTTTGTATAATTAGTATTGTTAAAGTTATAGACTGAAGGCAGAAGATTAAAGATTGTTACTTAAAACTTCACTATTCACTAAATATTACATTTGTTGACATTAATTATGAAATTATTATAAGTTAAAAGTTTTTTCTAATTAATGTATACAATTATACCTTATTACAATTCAAGAATATGTTTTGAAAAATAAATTAATTATCAGTGTAAATTTGTATCGATTATTTTTTAAGTGTGTGCAGTATGTCCAGTTAAATGTACGCGTGTAATTTCTGAAATTTTGAAAACAGGAAAACAGTTGTCTAAGAAGAGAAATAAATAATGAATTTTAATTTTGGTAAAATTATTACTTGCATAAAGTTCAATGCCATCGTTTACTAAATATTTTTATTTATATTCATCGACGTGTTTTTTATTTTTTGAAATTATACTATTACAATACGAAAATTGAATTGATTTTTTTTTGTAAGACTATGCTTAGAATCATAAGAATGGTTGTACACGGCTGTGAAATACCAAATATCGCGCAGTCTCTAGGCGTATTGCGTCGATTAATTTTATGTACACTGTTGTCGCCAGGACAACTGTATAGACAAGCTAAGTCATACGTGTACCAAAGCAGGAAAAGCACTTTGTACTTAGTAAAAGTGAACATTAAGAATTCTTTACAAAATGTCTTTATATGCGACACCAATTCTTTATTTAAATATGGGTGGTGAAATGTTATATGTTTTGCGACAAAGACTGAAGGCACAGAAGATTAATGTTGATAAAACTATCCAAGGCTAGTGTAATATTAAAATGTTGATCTATGCTGCATAATTAAAATTTATTTTAGTATTAAATATTTATTGTATTTCGATCTATTTGAAGAGATTTTCATTTAAATTCTAGTATTGGACGATGTAACTGCAGCCTTACTTAATCCCAAAATATTGTCCTCTATATTTGTGGAAAAACCGTTAATTGAAATGTCCATTCTACGGTCTACTTTGGAATGCGTTGTGTTATCGTCACTTGTGAAACTCGATATAAATAGTATGAATAAACTGTTTGATTTAATGATTATGATGGTTAAATATCAGTTAACTGCAGCTACTGGCCCTAAAGAAGTTATTCTTTTAACGTTAAATCACACAGACGCAATGCGCGATATGGTTAACAATTCAAATGCACAAGAATGCGTTGGATTGGTACATCAGATGGTAGTTGATGTAAGCATTTTTTGTATTTTTTATTAAATTATTTAATTTATACTAAATTTATAAAAACTGTCTGTTAACTATTATGCAGTTTTATAATCATTTAACTTGTGAGGAGGTCTGGAATGCCAGAAATGATTGTTTGAAAGTATTGGAGCCATATTGTGTAAAAGTATCACTTCTTCTTAGTCTTGGATTACAAAATGATAATGGTAGTTTTAATTTAATGCATCATAAATACGACGAGAAATATGAAGAGAACAAAAGTTGTTTTTCTGACATAAAATTGTGTGATTTGGATTCAAAAAATTACTGTGATGGTACTTTTAATCTTTTTGACGAACGTGGCACTTTGCTAGGTAAAAACATGTAAGTATAGAATACAAAATTGTCAAATTTTATTAAAATAGAAATACATTGAATAAATTCCATGCAGGTACTCAATGACACATGAAATGTCAAAACTGATACTTAACACAGAAAAGGAAAATCATGATTTAAAAGATTGTGGTGCAAAAGCAGAACTTGGTATGTTGGCTGTTCAATTGGGAACAGAAGAAACTTCATATAAACGACCATTTACTTTGAATTTACTTTCAAACGACACTTACGACAATGCAGATACAGTAAAAGAAGGGCTTGATTCTAAAGAAGATAACAAAAATGATACGGTAGTTACGAAATATGAAAAAAACGGTATTTAATGAAGAATATAAAACAAAACTTGATAATGTACGTGCAGACTTCTCTGAAGATAAACTTAAAGAACTAGAATACCAAATGTTAATATTGGATATTTTAGAGGGAACAGAATAGTTTCATTCGATTTACTTTAAATTCTCTAATTATAATTATGCAAAAAAAATAAAAAGAATTTTCTTGTACATTTTGTCTATACTTATATACGTGTACTTTATAATATAAATAAATATTTCTTCATATATCGTAAAACAATTTTTTTCATAATATTTCACATTAAATTTATTATTGAACGTTTAGTAATGAAACGTACTAATTAAGATTAAATGATTACCAATTATAATTGAAATCGTAATTAAAAACATACTAGAAGAAATATACATACACATCAGGTTAAAAATAAAAAGCCAACATATCTTATAATACAATAAATGTATTAATAATATTCTCAGTGCGTATGTTAATAATTTAAATACATAAGAAATGCAGTCATTTCAATACGAAATTTCTAAACAGAGTTGGGCAAAATGTAATCTAATTAAATTTTACCCAACTTTGCTTCTAAATTCTCATTATTAAAAACATAAATTCATTTTAAGATCGAGTCAAATCGAAAATATATTTTACTCCAGTTTTACCATCAATGTTCAGTGCGTTCACAACAGCTTCTTCAAATTGGCACAATGGAACTAACTTATGTGGTGGAGCTTTTAATTTCTTATCTTTGAACAATAATCCCAATTCATTGAACATGTCTATGCGTTCTTTGGAATGCGTATTTTTCTTTGTCCATTCTGTCATCCAAAATCCCTTCAAAGTTATATCCTACATATTTTATTAAATTATTAGAAATTAGTTCGAAATTAATCACAATATAAAATATCTACTAAATTGTAGTTTCAATACGAATCACCTTAAAAATAAGTGCAGAAGTTGGAACAGTTAAAGGTTCTCTGGACATACCACCATAAGTCACCATAATGCCACCATGTGCTAACTGTTTCACAACTTGTAATGCATTTTGTCCACATATACAATTAAGGGCTAATCTTGGTGAAGGTAACTTTTTACTGCTAAAAATTTGTGTATTCCTTATTTCAGCTTCAGTAAGTATTACATCTGCACCCAAACTCGTTAACTGGTCCTAAAAAATTCTTATTAAGAAGTATACACTTAATCCCATTTATCCTTTCATACCTTTAACTCTTGTATGTTTGGTCTGTCTCTAACAACACTGACAGTTTTATAATTCCACAGTTTGCATAATTGTATAACTATCTGCCCAACTGCAGAATTACCACCATTTTGAATCACAGTATCTCCAGGATTTAATGAAACAAAATCTTTAAGCATCCTGTATGCAGTACATGGGTTCACATTCAACATACTAGCTTCTATGGTTCCAACATCCTTTGGAATCTAAAATTTTAATATGAATTATAATATTAATAATGCAAACACACATATATTTTGTGTTTAAGAATATTTTATACTTTCATAAGTTCTTTCGAATTATAATTTGCGCGTGTTCTCCATGTTCCTAAATGTGAACCAAATGGAATAACTCTGTCACCAACAGATAGATTATTCACATTAGATCCAATAGCTATTACTTCACCTACTCCTTCATTTCCTGGAATAGCTGGTAAAGGTGGTTTACTTGGATATTTGCCTTGTATTGTATTTAGATCTGCTGGATTAATGGGTGCTAATAACCACTTAACAGATACCTTTATAAAGAATAATTTACATAATATTTTTATAAAAGAGAGCTAAATGATTAAAAGAAATGGTATATTCCTAGCAAACGGCCCGTTCAACGATCGGAGTGAGTTATACGTCGTTCGATTCGTTTAATTCAGTACATTATTGATATGCATTTTATTATCTGCGGAAATTCGTTATTTTTTTATAACTTCGTTTATTCATCTTGTCACTAAAAGTTTAATTACCTGATCATTTTCTGGTTGATTAATAGTTTGCGTTGTAATACGTAAAACATCAGCAGGATTTCCATATGTCGTGTACAACAAGGATTTTCCAGAATCCGCATTAATCGCCGTGCTCATTTGACGAATTGATGTAAAATTTGTTGAAATAGATCGCGATAATGGTAAAGTTAATTTTCTTATGCACATAACCATTTTATTGTTTAATGTATAACTATAATATTCACAAATACGATAGTTTTTGGATTCAATTTCAATTCAGTATGATACTATTATGTATACATACACTAATTCAAAGAAAAACATTGATCAAAAGCAGACTTAGATAATGACTTCACAAAACATGTATGATCTCATTTGTAAAGTATAATGTTTATGTTATTTCAATATTTTACAAATAATACTATTTATGTCTTCTCCCGGACAAAAAGAAAATGGTCTTATTTGTAAAGCTTGAATGCATATACTAATACATATTCATGTTCTTTTGTACATACGTATGTGATAGAATCTTTCTTACGATTAGAAAATTCTGTTAATTCACTGGCTAAAATTAAATTTTGCTAACAGTAATACCAAATACAGATTTTATATCTAAATAGGGAATTTTGATAACACATTAAGGAAATGAGTATTAATAAAAAGTACTATAATAATTTTCTAATATTGAGAAATGATTTCATGAGTTAAAGAGGCAAGTTGCAATTAGTATCATATAGGGTAACACTGTATCATTATCAACGTATATACAGTATATACTTCCTGATGTGAGTTTAATAACCTCAAAGTGTTACATAGGTAGTCAGTCGTTGTTTGACATTTCAGTAGATGACATCATAAGTTCGTGATTTAATTACGCATAACGCCAGATTTATATGTTATGTCAATAAAAAAATAAGTACGTACATTAATGTAATGTTAAGATAGCCCATTTAGTCCAGATAAAGATGTTTAAAAGCTGTATTTATACAGTTATCACAGACTATTATTGTCACAATAAGTTTCTTTGTTATGTTATTCATTGTTGGAAGTTTTATTGAAACAAATTGAATACTGGTAGTTCCATAGTTCTGAATATTAATTAGTCGATGGTATATATTTAATTGAAAATGATCTTTTTAGGAAAAAAAAACATGATAGCTTCAGAAATAGGTTCCACAAATAATGAACCTGTACACGTAAAAATTGGCAATGAAAAAGCTCCTTTAATTCGTGGAAGAGGTGTTTTACATAGATTAAGTAATTTCTTTAGAGTAAGAAGGATACAACATGCAGAAGGTGATGGATATGTTGAGTTTGGTAGTTTGGGAACAGATATCGGTCGTACTTTGGGAACATTTGCTGGTGTATTTAGTCCTGTTACATTATCCATGTTCAGTGCCTTAGTTTTTCTACGAATGGGTATGAAATTGATAAAAGTAATATAAAGTTGCTTTTTGCTTCTACTAATTTTGTAATAATGAATTTTACATTTTAGGATATATAGTTGGTAATGCAGGATTACTTGTAACTTTGGTACAATTTGTAATCGCTTATGGAATTTTGGTATTTACTGTAGCATCTGTGTGTGCAATTTCAACAAATGGAGCAGTCGAAGGAGGTGGTGCTTATTGTATCCTTAAAAGATAATTACTTCTTGTTAATAAATAGTTTTGTATTATCTTCTGTAATTAATAATTCATTATGCATAAACTCTATATGTTGTTCAAAGATAAGGTATCAATCACCAGCTTACTCTTTTATCTAACATTCAACTGATATATTATTTTTGTCTCCGTTATTAAATTACTGCTGTACTTATTAAAGATATAATTTACAACATAAAAAAATAAATATTATTATTATCACCATATATTTTCTTTTTAAAAATACTGAATGAAGATTAAAATTGCATGTCACTTATGATGTAAGATATTGTTTTCTTATTAATTATAATACAGTCATGATAAGTCGTACACTTGGACCAGAATTTGGTGGTTCTATTGGTACACTATTTTTTATGGCTAATATAGTATCAAGTGCACTTTGCATCTCTGGTTGCGCCGAAGGATTGATAGAAAATTTTGGACCATCCGATTATTTGACTGACAAAAGTGCTTTTAGTACATGGTGGCGTTTTTTATACTGCTCATTATTGAACACTGCCAATTTATTGGTATGTTTAATAGGGGCAGCAATGTTTGCAAAAACTAGTGTTGCTATTTTGGCTATTGTTTGTGTTTGTCTATCAAGTGTTTTCATAAGTTTTTTGGTACAAGGACACATGGAGGTAAGTCTATAGAATATAGACAGAAATTTCAATTAAATGGATTTACTTTATTTATAAAAATATGATTGTTAATTACGTATAAAGATTCATAAATATTATTTCCTTTATTCTAGATAGCAATTCCAGCTGCAAATAAACTAGTTCAAAATGCAACTGAACATGTTAATGGTACTTATACAGGATTGTTATCATCTACTCTTATAAGTAATCTTTATTCAAATTATAGTCAAGATTATTCAAGTGAAGAGGTAATGACTGATTTTGCAAGTGTTTTTGGTGTATTATTCAGCGGTGTAACTGGTATAATGGCTGGAGCTAATATGAGTGGTAATTTTCTGGACAATTTATTACCTTATACTTTGTTCATATTTTCAGAATTAAATATTTAATAATTATTTATAGGTGAATTGAAAAATCCAGGAAGAAGCATTCCACGTGGAACTTTATCAGCAGTATTGTTTACATTTATATGTTATATTCTCTTATCTATTTTTACAGCTGCAACTACAAGTCGATTTTTGTTGCAAAATAATTTTGTCTACATGATGCCAATTAATATTTGGCCACCATTTGTAGCAGTTGGCATATTAACAGCAACATATAGTGCTGGTTTAAGTAATTTAATAGGATCAAGTAGAGTTTTAGAAGCATTAGCTAAAGATAATGTATTTGGTAAATTAAATTCTGCTTTATACAAATATTTGTTGTATTTACTAATTTAGTTTAATTTCTGCATTTTTAATATTTACAGGATCTGGATTGAATTTTATAACACGGGGAACGTGGAAAGGAAATCCAATTGCTGCAGTTTTAACTTCATGGACTCTAGTCCAAATAATTTTACTTGTGGGTTCATTGAATACAATTGCCCAGATTAATTCAGTATTATTTCTGTTAAGCTATTTAGCTACCAACTTGGCTTGCCTTGGACTTGAACTTGCAAGTGCCCCAAACTTCAGGTACCTTTCAATTTGAACTTACGTAATTTGAAATATTGACATTGAAAACTTTAGTATAAAGTATTTGAAACATTTGTATTATTTTTTACAGGCCAACATTTAATTATTTTACGTGGCATACAGCAACAATTGGCATTCTTGGAACATTAATAATGATGTTCATCATAAATAGTATCTATGCTTCCAGCAGTATAATACTGTGCTTAATATTAATCATTGTGTTGCATTTATTTTCTCCGAGTAAAAACGCTCCTTGGGGAAGCATATCACAAGCACTCATATTCCATCAAGTCAGGAAGTATTTATTAATGTTAGATTCGCGTAAAGATCATGTGAAGTTCTGGCGGCCACAAATGCTCTTAATGGTAGCCTCTCCGCGGTCAGCGTGTCCACTTATAGATTTTGTAAACGATTTGAAAAAAGGAGGACTTTATGTAATTGGGCATATCAAAATCGGAGAATTTTCTGGTCAAAGTATAGATCCTACGATAGAGGAGTATCCCCATTGGTTGAGTTTGGTTGATCACATGAAAGTAAAAGCGTTCGTTGAATTGACAATTACGAAAACTGTACGCGAAGGACTCCATCATTTAATACGAATATCTGGAATGGGAGCAATGAAACCAAATACAATTGTTCTCGGTTTCTACGATGAAGAAGAACAAACAGACTTTTTTACTAATTCACAATATGCAACAGACATGTTTGAAAATGTTACAACATTTCCAAATAGTATTGCATTCCCATTGAGACAAACAAAAGCAGAGAAGAATCTAGATCCAGTACAATATGTAGGAATGTGCTCGGATGTTTTAAAAATGAAAAAAAACCTATGTTTATGCCGAAATTTTCATACCTTAAATAAATTACAAATTACAAAGTAAGTATGTAATAAATTTCGTAATCTGTATATAACGTTACGTCGCCCTTTTGTTATAAATGATTCTTATTGTAGGAACTCTAATTTAAAGTATATCGATGTGTGGCCGGTGAATTTTTTCCAACCAACGGATCAAGATTCATTTGACACAACATCATTGTTTATGCTTCAACTTGCATGTATCATCAACATGGTGTCCACGTGGAAAAATTTACATCTCAGAGTGTTTCATTGTGAAATTTCAGATAGCAATGAAAGTCCAACAATTTCTAATGAACTCCGTATAAGGAAATTATTAAATATGTTGAGAATATCTGCATCCATTAAAAAGATCCCTAACTGGGGAACACAAGTACGCGGATTAAAGGGTAGATCCCTTATCGAATCCAGAGTTGAAACTCAATATGAATCAGGCACTGAAAATAGCGACGACATCTTGAGCAATGTTTCACGTGCTTATATTTTGAGGTAAATATTTTACCATAAACATACGTTTATTTAACGCGTTTATTGCAGGATAGAGAATGTTTTTCTTTAGAAACGGGCGATGATATTTTTAATATTTAAATTTGACACAGTTGAGTTCTGAAAGTAAATAAACTCCACCAGAAATTCAATAATGATGATAGTACTAAATGCATAATAGGAGAGGTAAATTTACCTCCACCGCGGAGCATGTCGGCCGCAAAGAGATAAATCTACTTTCTCCGTAATAAATGCGTTAATAAACTGACATTTTGAATAATAGATTTCTTATGAATATTAAAATTTTTAATTTATTAATTATATTTTACAGTGTTAATCAACTAATTAGAGATCATTCTTCTCAAACTGCAATAATATTTATGTATTTACCTACACCACCAGCATCAAATACTTGGGACGAAAGTGTTATGTATCGTCAGTATCTTCAACTGTTAACGGAATTAACAGCAGATTTACTTCCTATAGTATTAGTGCATGGTGTTAGTGCTGTTACATCGACAACACTATAATAAAATGTATATATAGAAAAAGAGATTTTTATTGAACAACTTTTATGAAAGAAAGTATTATTTGATGAGTAACTTATGCAATGTTAAATTATCATTTTTATATTTCCTGCATATTTGAAGGAATTAGCATTGGCCAAGGAATAAAAATATCCGACATACTTTCTCATATAATTTTATCACTATTGTAAAGTTGTATGACTATGTCTGTACTAATAATACTTTTTTATTATCATAAGCGAATTTTAATGTTATGACAAATATAGTTTATTACTGTGATATCGGAATTATCCTATAAGAGATTTCTCAAACGCAACTATTTTTCAAATGTATAAAATATCTTTACTGAGAAATATGGATGTAAGTTTTATCTTAATATATTTCATGTATGAAACTATTTCTATATCATTTTTTTTGTACTGCACTTAATCTTGAAATAGGTGTAGCAATTGTAACAGTAAAGACAGATGTAAAGTTAAATACAGGATTTATGATGTATATATCTATATATATATATATATATATATATATATATATATATTAATAATAAAATATTATTAATAAAACAATAACTCTTGAAATTCTTAAATATTTAAATAAATACCCTTTGACACTGCAACACATATTTCTAGTTTGGACGTTTCTTTGAGCAAATACACGGTTTCACATCACGTAAAACGTAATACACATTAACTTGAGACAGTCTAATTAATGAACAGTGTCTAAAGCTTATTATTATTATAATAACTACAGTACTGTCCACACAAGTGACCGGATTTTTGCCCACTTAATTGTCCGTTTAATCGGTAAAGTAGAGCTCAACCTCGCAACAGAAAACGCACCTGTCGCCAGAAGGTCGAAAAATGAGCGCCATCTAGCGATGAAGGAAACAAACTATTCGACGACAAACTTGGGCGTTTTAAATCCAGAGGGATTGAGGTCGAAGTTAGTCGAAGTAAGTTCCTTTAGCAAATGTGGACACTACTGTACTTATAATAATAAGAAGAAGCTTTAGACACCCTTTTATTAATTAAAATGACGTGCATATAGTCTCAAATTAATGGGTATTATGCTTGACACGATGTGTAACCGTGTATATGCTCAAAGAATCGTAAAAACTATGAATACGCGTTGCAATGTCAAAGAGGGTGGTTGGCGGGGTTTTCTCATCCCTTATAATTATATTATAGTATTGAGATGTTTCATTTGAATAACCTGGGGTAATTGCAGTAGGGATAGTATAAAAATAAGACAGAGAGTAAAACATTCGTTCACTCTGCTATGTTGCTTCGTACAGAGCCCATATTTAAATAGGCCATCGGTTCTAACTAGGCATTTTATAATAGATTGAAGTGTCCGGAGTCTATTTACGCCGCGGAAATTGATTTTGCATGTCCTGGAACCGCGGCGTCTACTATCGCGACGTGCGTTGGTATTCGTAACGCACGATACGATTCGACACTGTTGTAAAACAGTGCAGTTCGATCCGTGGGAATAGCCGACTATTAAACTGACACCATTAAACCGCTTTTATATCGAAACTTAGATTCCAGAGTGTCCGAGTAACGAATTTACAATGTAACAAAACGACGATGATAATTACTCAAGAGCATCTCTCTGTTTAAACAATTTCATTCCACTTGACCATTTAAAATTGAACAAGACTAATTTATTCATTATCACACGTAAAATCCTATCAAGAGATTCCTTTGCACGCGTAGTTATGAAATGACTCTGAACATATTCGTTCACTTAACGAAAAGTTTTTCACTTCGGTTAGGTTCGAAACTGTAACGCGATTTTGTAAAGGCGAGGGATCGGAAAATGGTGGGGGACACACGCGAAAGCGGGTTAAAACACACTTCGAAACAAGGCTGACCTAAATTTCATTACACCAGTACATCCTGTTTCGGACGAGTTCGTTTTTCCTTTTCGACCTGTTGAAACAAGCTTGCGTAATTAGTTTCCAAAATTAGCGGACCAACCGAAACGCAATTATCGTCGCGAGAGATTAGTTATTGGTATATTGTTCAAAATAGTCGAAGAAAGAAATATTGGGTTGGCCCAATATATTTTTTAATCGAAAGTTTACAGGATGTTCGACCAACCCTGGGAAAAATTTTAATGGGAGATTCTAGGGGCCGAAATGAGACGAAAATCAAGAATACTAATTTGTTGATGGAGGCTTCTTTAAAAAGTTATAGAAACATTTCCGGCCGCACAGTATATTTTCGGTAAAGAATTTTTTTCTCGAAAGTACGTAGCATTTCGGGGATATGTGTATTGGCCAAAACTGATTGCAATTGACACCTGGAACTAAATATAATTATTTCAATATGATTTGAAATTTTTTAATTTCGTCTAAAAATTTCAATTTCTACTCGAATTTTTTTCTCGAAAGTGAGTAGGATTTCAGGGGTATGTGTATCGACCAAAACTGATTGCAATTGACCCCTGGAACTAAATATAATTTTTTTAACATGATTTGAAATTTTTTAATTTCGTCTAAAAATTTCAATTTCTACTCGAATTTTTTTCTCGAAAGTGAGTAGGATTTTAGGGGTATATGTATTGGCCAAAACTGATTGCAATTGACCCCTGGAACTAAATATAATTTTTTCAATATGATTTGAAATTTTTTAATTTCGTCTAAAAATTTCAATTTCTACTCGAATTTTTTTCTCGAAAGTGAGTAGGATTTCAGGGGTATGTGTATCGACCAAAACTGATTGCAATTGACCCCTGGAACTAAATATAATTTTTTTAACATGATTTGAAATTTTTTAATTTCGTCTAAAAATTTCAATTTCTACTCGAATTTTTTTCTCGAAAGTGAGTAGGATTTTAGGGGTATATGTATTGGCCAAAACTGATTGCAATTGACCCCTGGAACTAAATATAATTTTTTCAATATGATTTGAAATTTTTTAATTTCGTCTAAAAATTTCAATTTCTACTCGAATTTTTTTCTCGAAAGTGAGTAGGATTTCAGGGGTATGTGTATCGACCAAAACTGATTGCAATTGACCCCTGGAACTAAATATAATTTTTTTAACATGATTTGAAATTTTTTAATTTCGTCTAAAAATTTCAATTTCTACTCGAATTTTTTTCTCGAAAGTGAGTAGGATTTTAGGGGTATATGTATTGGCCAAAACTGATTGCAATTGACCCCTGGAACTAAATATAATTTTTTCAATATGATTTGAAATTTTTTAATTTCGTCTAAAAATTTCAATTTCTACTCGAATTTTTTTCTCGAAAGTGAGTAGGATTTCAGGGGTATGTGTATCGACCAAAACTGATTGCAATTGACCCCTGGAACTAAATATAATTTTTTTAACATGATTTGAAATTTTTTAATTTCGTCTAAAAATTTCAATTTCTACTCGAATTTTTTTCTCGAAAGTGAGTAGGATTTCAGGGGTATGTGTATCGACAAAAACTGATTGCAATTGACCCCTGGAACTAAATATAATTATTTCAATATGATTTGAAATTTTTTAATTTCGTCTAAAAATTTCAATTTCTACTCGAATTTTTTTCTCGAAAGTGAGTAGGATTTCAGGGGTATGTGTATCGACCAAAACTGATTGCAATTGACCCCTGGAACTAAATATAATTTTTTTAACATGATTTGAAATTTTTTAATTTCGTCTAAAAATTTCAATTTCTACTCGAATTTTTTTCTCGAAAGTGAGTAGGATTTCAGGGGTATGTGTATTCACCAAATATGATTGTAATTGACCCCCGCAACTGAAAATAATTTTTTCAGAACGATTTGAAACAATATTTTTTCATCGAAAAATTTCAGGGGAACATGTCGATGTATGGTCAGGCATTACATTTTCGGTAATGAATTTTTTTCTCGAAACTGCGTAGGATTTCGAGGGTATTTGTATTTACCAAAAATGATTGTAATTGATCCTTGCGATTGAAAATAATTTTTTTAGAACGATTTGAAATTTTTTAATTTCACCGCTGTCGATTTCTAGCTTTGCAGTCGAACTTGCAACGTTAAAAATGCGTTCATTACAGTTGTAATTGATAATGTAATAACGTCGAGCACGATACGTCTAGTATTGCTCCTGCAAGCAAAAATAATTTTTTACAAAATTCAAATGTTCAAGATGTGTGCTGGTTCGCGTTAGTACTACTTGCTGTTTTCTGTGATCTGAGTAGATCGGGTAGGTTTTAATATGAAAAAGAGCAAGTCTTCGGTTTTACACTGGTCTTTAACACATTCCAAAGCACAATGGATACTCAGAATTAAATGAAATCGAGAATCAGGCGCCTCTCGCGCGGACAGTCGCTCGAAATTCGCGACTGTTTTAATTCCTTAAGCCGTAGTAAAGTCTTCGCGCGGATCCAGCGTTATGTGAAAAAGTGTAACGGAGATTTTGGTGGAAAGGAACAAGCTGGAACGCCCTCGTGAACAAGAATAATGATATTCCCACGGATTGGTCCACGAAGAAACGTAGTTAGCCAACTGGACACAATCCTCGAACGTGATACAACACGCTCCTGTACACGGATGGCTGTTTAAACTACGCATTTCCATCGGTAACGCCACACGGATTTCCCTGGGAAAATTTTCAGTGGAAATCCTCGCATGGCAGATTGTCGCGATCATTATTCACGTGCATGCTTCCACGTTCTCGTCGGTGGGTCCTGATTTATCGTCCATGGGGGGCCGGAATTCAATGCGGAAGTCAAATTAATCGTAGGCTCGAGTAAATCGGAAGTGGGTGAAATAAGAAATTTGGTAAAAGGTCTCATTTTCAAAACTTTTTCAACGTATCGTTTCTACCTAAATCACGATTTTCTTTTAATTGTGCGTTTAAGGCATGCATCGTTAACTTAATATACAGGGCGTCCGCCCATCCGTGGGAAAAATTTGAATGGGAGATTCTACAGGCCAAAATAAGACGAAAATAAAGAATATCAATATGTTGATTGACGCTTCGTTAAAAAGTTGTTAAAGAATTAAATTAAAAATTTCCAAACGACCATAACTCCTACAATAGTAAAGGTATCTTATTGAAATTTTTTTCTGAACCAGAGCCCGTGGGTACCTACAAAAAAAGTATTAGACAACTTTTCCGCGTCAAACAAATTTATTAAAAATGAAAAACAAATTTTTAAGAAAAATCGACAGAGGGCCTAAATTTTCCTGGAAAATATATTTTTGGTTGCAGGGCTCAGTTACAATCATTTTTGG